CAGAAAAAATACGAAAAAGGCTTAGCCGAAATTAAGAAAATTAACAGAGAAAAGGAGGAACACGAGAAGAAAATTAAAGAATTGGAACAATCAGTAAGCTTAATAATTATAATTATTATCTTAAGAGATTATTAATTCCAGTTTTTCTTTTATAGCTAAAAGGATTTGAAGAAAGTAAAACAAAATATGCCGAAAGTGTTAAAGAAATTGACAACCTTAGGGCTAAAGCAACTCAAGCAACGTTTGAGGTAATCTGATATTATTTACTGTAAAATCGTAATGTGTTTTTCTGTATTTTTATCGTTTGTAGTTTCAAGAAGAGTTAAAATTGGCAGGACGTAAAGGACAACCTGATTACACAACAAATGAAGAAAAAGAAAATTTAAGAAGAAAAGCTATGGTTGCGTTGGAAGCTGTAAGTTCGTTAGAACTAGTTATTTAACTGTGTTTAAAATGAAGAGATATAAATAATAAAATGTATTTCTTTGCTTTTAGAATAATAACTTACAAGTTCAATGTTTGAAAAAATTGGAAGAAAAAATGAAAGAAATTTATATATTAAAACGACAAATTGAAAATTTAGAAGGAAAGGAACTAGCTGCAAGAGAATCAAACGTAATAAGTTATTAATGTTTTCCTGCTGCTTTTTTATACATTATTTATTTTTAATTTCAGTCTAATGAAGAGAGATGTTTAAAGGAAAAAGAAATTTCTAATTTAAAAGACTGCATAAAACAGCTGGAAGGAGGACAAGCGTGCACCAAACTTGCAAACGAAAGTTTACAGACAATGGTAACGTTCTTTGCTTTAATTAATTTGATATTGAGTTAATTATTTAAGTATTCGTAATTTATTAAAATTTTAACGGTATTTGTCTTACATCATAGGAAAAACATCGTATTATAATTGCTTCTGAATGAATAATGAAATGATAAGTCTTATTATGCTTTAATTTTGTATTAATTAAATTTAGGTAAATAATTATCGAAAGTCTGTTGCCGAATTGGAGGAAACTGAGAAGCACTTAAGAACTGAGGTAAGTAAGTAGCTCTAGATAATTTTGGTTTGACTTAATTTCTTTATTTAAAAAGTTCATATTTTTGTAGTTATAGTGTGTAGTTCATGGCCCTTGTGTAGTTTTTCTTAAGTTATTATAGTCAATTGTAGATTTCTCAACAAAATATAACTATACTTAATCTCCAAGAGGCGTTGTTAGCCGCGAAACAAGAACTCGAGGAGATTCGACAAAAAGCAGCTAAAGAAGTGAGTGTTAATTGGGCTGCTCGTTGGCTAGGAACAACATTTTCTAAATCCCAATCTCCAAATAAATCCGTGCATGATGTGTGAAGTGCTTTTTTTTTACCTCAATTTTATTTCATACTAATTTATTTTACCTAATAAGTAAGTTTTGACTAGTATTGACTAAATATTCAACTATTTATTTAAATTTTTGTTTACAGTAACAGCAAACCTTTTTTTAAGACGTGCAAAAAGATATTAATCTAAAGTTGCATGATTGAAAGTGAATTGAACTGATGCAAAGATATAAAGTGATTGGCAACAGAAATTGTTATTTCTTAAATTGTTGTGGGTAATTTACAAAAAATATATACCCCGTGCTTTTCATTCTATTTGTCGTAATTAATATTGTTTTTATGTTGGTTTTGCTTGTAGTTATAGTCAATTTGATTCTTCGTCTTAGCGAAAAATTTGTTAAACATTGGAATAAAATTTTTAATAATTGTTGGTAATGTTATAAATGCACAAATTTTATATAAATATAAGTATTAACTAAATTTTGTTTATTATTTGTATGTGTATTTCCCAATGTATGTATTTTTGTATAAATGCATCCAATATCAATCAGTCAATCAAAAAGGCAAAGATCATTTTACAACTTAAATTTACAACAGTTTGATTAAATNTTTCTTCCTGTAGGGTAGATTACTATTATCTTGTAACGTATTTTAGATTTATAAGAGGGTGAAAATAATGAACAGCCTGTATACAGATTTGGTTAAAGTAGAAGAAGAGTATTCCAGTAGCTCTAAAGAGGTAACCATTTTTTAAAAATATATTTGCATCTGTTTTAACGATTGGTTTCAGTGCGAAAACTTGTCTGTATTATTAAATAATTTGAGGGACGATTATTTAGATTTGGAAGTTGAAAATTTTAATCATCTCCAGGATATAGAGATGCTTGATTGTCTCGTATTAAAGTATCAACAAATCAATAAGTTAAACGAGGTATTACTTGTTCACCACAATGAATTTCATTGCAGTTTTACTAACAAGTTTGGTTTTTGTACTTTAATACGGTTTTTACTTGTAATTTTTCTTCGTGTTTTACTTTATGTTAAAGAATTCTTCTAATAACATTTTAATTTAGCAAAGCATGCGAGCTGTTGTAAAGAAAATGAAAATTGAAAAGCAGGAGTACGAAAATGTGATTAGCTATCTTAAAAATGAAATGGCAATATTATCTGACCAGCTTCAAAAATTGCAACATCTACTGGTAAGTTCTATTACAACAAAAGTCACTTTTTGTAGTAAACGTTTTTTACTTTCAATTGTAATTCTTTTTAAATACTTAAAATCTAAATTTTCCTTCATTTAAATAAAAAAGGAAAAGGGCTTTCGTTATTGTAATTTTCTTTAGCATTTTTTAACAAAACTTTGTGTAGTTAAAGTTTTGGCGAAAACTCTATGCCCTTTTCCTTTAGTGAGGGCTATCATTAAACTACCAACAGAGACTTGGAGGTCGATAGAATAGTTTCGATAGGTACAGGTATTTTTCTTGTTTTTTAAAATGCTGTACTAATGTTTTAGTTGTTTAACGTGAAAGTGAATTATTTTCTAATTATATATTTGCTTCGTTTTCTGTTTTCTGCAGTTTGACTTCTTATTACAAATGAGATGTGACTTTTATATTCATTTTTTTAAAAGGTTTTCAATTGAAATTTTAAGTTGAATTTTAATAGAGTACATTAAACCATATTTTCTTTCTCTTAGAAAATAGCAAACACATCAAATTTGGATATGGAAAATAAAACACTCGCGGGCAACCTGATCGACGCTCAAGCAATTAACAATGTTCTTCAGGAACAACTTAAAGTTGCCGAAACGCAGTTAGCCTACGAAATGAAAATGAACAAACATTACATTACACTTACTGAAGAATTACAAGATAAGCTCAGTTCTGAAACGGTTAAAAATCACCGGATTCAACAAAAGGTGAAGGAAATTCAGTTTCAATTAGAAAAATCGAACTCTTTCGTCAGATCATTGGAAAATACAGTCAAGGACTTGGAGAGTACCATTATTATTTACGAGAGGGATCTTGAAATGGGAAGGAAACGGGAAAAACAGCAAGATAAAGAAATTGAAATATATCGTAAACAGGTAAGTACTTACTTAATAGGACTTTGCTGTAAAAAAAAAGAAAATTAACTTTCTAACAGAACAAATATACAAATATAAATATCGTTAATTGTAATGTAAATCTAATTTAATCTAAATGAAGTATGATTGTGATGGAAAATAACAAGGTAATAATCTTCGATTTAAAATGTTTTTCTTAATGACCGGGTTTTGTCTTCGATTTATAAAACAACATAATGATTCATATTTTTATTTCGAGATGGTTCCTTCAAGACTGAATAGTGAAAATTTAAAGAAAACTCCTTTATTCAGAACTCGAAGTCAATCCAGATGTGATGAAAATAGTTTTTTCAAGATGGAAATGAATTTTGTTTAATATAAAGCGACAATTGTATCTAAATAATATTTTAACATCTTCCACATTCTTTTGGAAACCAACTTGACAAATAAAAATGCAATATTATGTTGTTTTATTATTATTTTATTTATGATAATAATTTGGATGTATGTATATTTAACTATTGTCAAATTTTGGTAAGTATAAAATTATAATTCAGCTTTCGTTATTATTCGTTAAATTAACATTTTGGTTTACTTTATTTTTGTTTTAAGCTAAGAGACATCAGTGATAAGTTTATGGATTTGGATGAGAAATATAAAGAACTTGAAGCCGAATTGGAAATTAAGAATCGATCGATGTTAGAGAAAGAGAATAAAATTAAACAAGATTATGAAGAAAGAGAGAGAGTACGAGCAGATTTGGGTCAGCAGTTAACATATGCAAAGGAAGAGCTTGGAGGATTAAGGATTGAAATGAATAAAACAATAACTGCGCAAAATGCGCTACGGCTAGAGGTGAATGAAAAGTATTTTAATTTAATGAAAAAAGCTTAATTTCTTGTCGTTAACAGATAATCTAGAAATGTGATGTTTTCTTTTTTCTAGAATGAAAAACTTAAAACACAGTTGAACACTTTACACGTTGATAGAAACTCCCTTGAGCAGCAAGTTGTTGACAGAACTCAAGAGGTGGAGCAATATTTGCAGGAAATACAGAATCTTCAGGCGGACAAGGAAACTACCGAACAAAAATACAAGATATTAAAAACCGAATTACAAGGTTTACAATCGGCTTTCGATAATTTGAGCAAACAGTACATGAATAAAGCAGAATCATTAATATCGTTGGAAATGGAACTGGTCGATACCAAATCCAGCCATACTCAACTGTGCAATGAAAGCAAAAAAGTTGTCGATAATGTACGTTGTTGGTTGGAAGAACAAAAGGAGATAAATTTAAAATTGGAACGGAATATTAAAGAAAAGGAAAGTACCATTAACAAATTAAAGGGTGAAATAAGGTAAAGGAACAGGTCTAACATTACCATTACCAATTATCCTTCTTAACCATTTTCATTTTCACTTTTAAGGAATTTGAAATGTCATCTGACGCTTCCTAATAAACTGCCTACGACATATGAACGAAGACCAACACATCCTCTTATCCGTACGTCCCTTATGCAAGCGTTGAGTCCTACGCATCCATGGAGTCTCGGCTCTCAAGGATCTGAGTCAAGTTACAGTACAAATCCGGCTGAGGGTGATGAGGAAACAGCAGTAAGTGTACAAATTTTCGATTAGTAATATCATAGGTCGACAATAATAGCACAATTCCTTGATTAGAAATTAAACTGTAACACCAATACGAGGTGTTGAGAAATATGATATTTAAATAAAATACACGCGATTATATATAACGTTTTCAAAATTGGCTTTAACACTGAAGTTTTGCGCCAGATATATGTGTTACGTCTTGTTTTTGGCAGTAAAAAGGAAAAAATAATTAATAGCAAATGTAAACCTGCATCTTTTATTAAATGCGTTTATGCATTTTCAGACCAGTGACATTGATACTACCGAGTCATGGCTGTACCGAGTTGAAAGTATGACCGAGCAATTACAGAGAAGTAATAATTATTGGAAAAACAGAATACACGATCATGAATACATGGTAACTAGAGACCAGTGAACGAATAATAAATTTTGCCTATATGTGTACATTATATAAATTCATTATTTTTTTCTATTTCATCCATTCTTCATGTTTTAGTAAAGAAATTAAAAGTTCTCAGTACTTATTTTGATTTTATTTTCGGTTTTCTGTCCTGCCTATATAACAATAACTCAAAACTTGCAATTTATTAACAACAAAGACTTATTTTTTCTTCCCACCTTTTTTCTTGTCTTTTTTACCACCTTTGCCCGGTTTAATTTTGTTTTTCACTTCTTTAATAAGTTCTTCTAGTTCGTCGATTTCTACGTGATAGTCCATAAAAAACCCGTAATTGGGGATACACAGTAAACGTATTAAGGGTAAATTACGCAAATAAATTCGACAAAAAAAATTTAATACTTCTCGACTTTTTGCAGTGTCTAAGAGTTTAATGCTTTCTGGAGGACACTGGAAACAGAACCACAAGTATATAACAAAATTGACACTCGATAGTGTGAACCGATTTGTTCACATGACCGAGTGTTGTAACTCAATATGTGATAAGCATCTATAACTAACAAAATAAACAAATAAGTGTGTATAAATATAAGACATGCAAAACACAGATAACAAAACGAACTATGTATCTATCTAAATAAACAAATAAAACACCTGTCCAACTAATACGTCTGGGGAAGTACCAAATATATTGGAGCGAAATGTGAGTTTTTAAGGTTCATTTTGTGTATTATATAATGATATACTGATATACTGGTCACGTTATGGGGGTTTTTCATCATGTAATGTTTACACTATCGCGTGTATACTGTAGTTTTGATATCACCTTATTATTATTATGATACTTACTGAAATAGAGACGCAGAATAAAAATTCTTTGAAATAATTATAGACTTCTTGAGCAGTTCTATACAATGACGATGTAAAGTAGCGGTGCGATAAATAAAATATAGATAAAATTGAACCAGTTTCTTCCACAGTAAATCCATAGTCTTTACAAAAGTCTGTTGCACTTTTAATTAATTCGACAAACATTTTTCTACATGTTCCCTTTATAAATTCTGATCCTAACTTTTCCTCTAAAAATTTTTTTCTTTCAAAGGTAGTAACATTTAATTTAGTTAAATACGAACCAATAATTTGTTCTATTGCTATCGGGTCATTAATGGATAAAAAGTTTTCGAGTTCTTTCTTAGTCATATACTGCCATATCACGATTTTGGGATTGTCGATATTGGTTACATCTGTGAGTGCTTCAAAATTTTTGGCTGCATTTATTATTCGAAGATCTTCTTGGTATTCTTCGATATTTGATTGACTTTTTTGCGGTGAGGGTTGAACCTGTGCTGCGCTCTTTTTCTCATTATCATCTTTACAAATACATTCTATTCGTTTTGGCTTTGAAAGGGAAGGTATTAAATATCTTTCAAAACGTGTTTCACATCTTCCAATTGTTTGTGATAAAAAATCAAAAAACTCTTTATCCGGCATTTTGAAAAATCAAAATTAATTCAAAAATTTTTAAGAAAAATTTAAAGGTGTACTTGATTGTCAAAATTTTGCTACAAGTATATTGTTTTTTGTTGTTTATACTCTGAATGCATCTATCCTTTAAAAATTTGCAGATAAAAATAAAAATAGGTATTGTACAAAAGTACATACAAATAAATTATTACCGCTTTTTAGTTTAAAATTGGGAGTCGTTCGGAACTCTTCGTGAAATTTCGTAAAATGGTGCAATCAGCTAGCGAGCATGAGCAATAATAGTTTTCCTTCCTGCTTTCGTATTATTGCCTTCTGGCTTGTGCTTTCCCATTTCCTTTCCTTTCCAAGAATTTCAACAATTTCAGTAATTTTAGTCACTTAATAGTACAAAATGGTGGATTTAGTTGTTGATTTAAGCATGGATGTGAGTGATTGTGAAGAAATTATACCTAAAAATCCCGAAAAGTAAGTACATACTGAATGTTTTAAGTGGCTTTTATACAACGAAGTAATCCTGCTTTTAAAATACGTTCTTTTTTGATGAATGGACGACAGTTCCTGATTGTAGGAGTGTACTATTTTGAACCAAAGGTTTATGAACTTTAAATTTGGAAGCTCGGCCAAAATTAGACAGATGTGTATTACCGAAAAATTTATTAGGGTTTATTGTGCTTTAATAAAAACATACAAAGGAACACATGTTTTTAAATGTCTTCCTTACTCAGATCAGACATGAGATATAAAAGTAAAGTGGCGTTTCTTGTTTTCTCACCACGTTCTTCAACCAATATTTAACATTTTTAATCGTTATATCGTAGATTTGTACTATTTTGTTTAAACTCAATTTGCAAAATTACTTGTCACCTAAAATGAGTTGCAATATAGTGAAAAGGACTCGAACATTGATAGATTTGGATTCGGGGTTTAATGGGTCGTAAGTAACTTTAACGAATATCTAAATTCTTAGATGATTATTATAAAGTAGAACATTCTCGCCTTGAAAAGAGATTATTTTTATGTGTCCGACAGAAAATAAGCATACCTGTCTACCTACCAGTTTATTTTTGAGGATAGAAAAATACTTGATTACCCAATACCTCTCCTGTAAATAATGATATAACATATAGGAATTTTAAGAAAAATAAGCTTAAATATTAAAACCTATTTAATTATTTAATTATATCAATTTATTTAGTAATATTTCATATGTAAAAATAGGTTTATTGTTTTCAAAAGAATACTCTTGACATGAATTATTTTAGTCTCATAAATTTTCATGATTTTGCTTTATAAAAGAGTGGTATGCAAACTGCATTGTTTAGATTGGAATAATTATTTTAATTGCACAGTAAGTTACAGGTATAAATGTAATTGTTGTTTGTTAAAGACTAGCTGAACTCAAAAAGGAAAATGGAAACCAGTTCTTCAAAGCCCAACAGTACAGATCAGCTCTTCCACTATATACCGAAGCAATACAACTTTGTCCTGACACAGCTGCTTATTATGGTAACCGTGCAGCATGTTATATAATGCTGAATAATTTTCGAGATGCATTAGAAGATGCCAGAAGATCTGTACAGTTAGATCCAAATTTCACCAAAGGATACCAGAGGATACTGAAATGTGGAATAGCTCTAGGTGATTTGATGACAGCTGAGAATGCAGCCAGAAAGATAGCTGAATTGGCTCCCAACAGTCCTAGCATTAAAAATGAAGCTGAAAGTTTAACTGCTTTGAAACAGCAAGAATTAGAGGCACAGAAGGCTTATGAGAAAAAAGATTTCAGAAAAGTTGTCTACTGCATGGACAGATGTTTGGATCATGCTCCTAGTTGTGCACGTTACAAAATTTTGAAAGCAGAATGTTTGGCTTTCCTGGGACGATATAAAGAAGCTATGGAACTTGCCAATGGTATATTACATTTTGACAAAGGAAATGCCGATGCAATATATGTTAGAGGTGTGTATTAAGATAGCATTTGGTATTTTCTGTGTAAGTTATTACAGTTTTTGTAGTTTTTTGAGCAATCTGATTGAAAATTGTGTATATTATATGATTAACAATTCAGTAAAATGAGAAAATGATTTATTAACTGTTAATGTTTTAAAACCAAAAATATTGTAAACATATAACATATTTATATTCTTAAGAATTTTTAAACCATTATTTTATAATTGATGCTTTGTTGAATAGGTATCTGTCTCTTCTATGAAGACAACATTGACACAGCTGTCAGCCACTTCCAACAGGTGCTTAGGTTTGCTCCTGACCACAAAAAAGCAGTTGAATCATATAAGCGAGCAAAACAACTTAAGAAGAAAAAAGACGACGGTAATGCAGCATTTAAGACCAATCGTTTACAAGAGGCATTAGACCTTTACACAGAAGCACTTACGATCGATCCTTTGAATCGAAAGACGAATGCAAAATTGTATTTCAACCGCGCAATTGTTTTGTCTCGTTTGCGTAAGTTTGAGGACGCAGTCGCTGATTGTACCATGGCTTTGGATCTGGACGACACATATCTTAAGGCACTGTTACGTCGTGCGAAATGCTACATGGACCTAGGCGAATACGAAGATGCGGTACGCGACTACGAGAAGGCTTGTAAGATGGACAAAAGTCGTGAAAATAAACGTCTACTGCAAGAAGCAAAGATCGCATTAAAACGGTCCAAACGCAAGGACTACTACAAAATACTAGGAGTGGATAGGAACGCCACTGATGATGAAATCAAGAAAGCATATAGAAAACGAGCGCTGGTACACCATCCCGATAGACACGCAAATGCAACGGAAACAGAACGAAAAGATCAGGAGAAGAAGTTCAAGGAAGTGGGTGAGGCATACGGAATATTGTCGGATCCGAAGAAGAAGGTGCGTTACGACAGCGGACAGGATATGGAGGACTTTGATGGTGGTTTTCATGGTTAGTTAACTGATTTGTTTTATTAATTTTCAGCATTTTCTACGATGATTTACAATAAACCTATATCTGGAATGCTTACCCAACAAATGTATAAATGTAGTACATAAAATAAGTGTATAGATACTGGAGTCAGGTTTTACAGCAGATCGAAATCGGTATTCTAAAATAGTGTTTTCTTTTAAATTCAGGTTCATGTGGCACACTTGTGCTGTTAATGAAAAATATTTGTATCATAGTCCTGCAAGACATTTTTCCGGCGTTTGGGTCGTTCAGCTTGTAAGAAGATTAATTGTCAAAACCTGACTCATTGTTTTTATTGATCATAAAGAAAAAGGTACCTGATTTTTTTTTTTTTAATTTCTTGTTCAGCAGAATTAATAAATTTAAATGATGATCTGACATGTACTACATTTAGTCAAATGGGTAGATAGGGGAAGATTCATGCTTGCAAATAACAGCTTTTGAAATGATAATAATTTAATGGTGAAAATGAAAAAAATATATCATAATATTAAACAAATTCACAAAGCCTATTGTTTTTCTGAAAATACTGGTTTAAATCATAAATTACTTTTTAAATTTTGAGTGTTATTAATTATAATTTGTATGTCGCCCTGTATATACAGTCGGTATAATAATACTTATGTTTTATTGAATGCTGGCCAGCTTGTAATTTTTCTAACATACTTAATGATCTTTTTTGTTTTATTTTTAGATGACATCGATCCTACTCAATTATTTTCAAGTGTTTTTGGAAACGGTGCTTCCGAATTTCGTTTCAGTTCGGGAAGGTTTTCTAACAATTTCACCTTCAAGTTCAACTAAATGCGGATCGGTGCGTCAATATATTTGTAGCTTAACACTAAATTTTAATCTGATTACATTCCCATTTGTTGTCATCCTCAATTTTAAAGAGGCGGTCCTTGAATGGTCTTTGTTATCTCGCTTGTAATGTCGCGTCTCTTTTTTAATTTCTATGTGTAATGATTTTATACCATCTTTTCTTTTATACACACTGTATGATAAAAATTCTGTTCAGTAATAAAAATAGTAACAAATGCGGTTGAATAGAATGATTGATTGTCTACAAGGGATACAGTGCAAATATTTTTCTCTTGGAAGTACTAACGATAAGTATTTTGTTTGTGTGGTGACCCCCTTTTTTTATTTCGCGTACGATCAACGAAGTAAAGTGCTATTTTATTTTGTAGTATTTATCTTATGATTAGTGATTTTTGTGTTCAATAAATAAGATTTATTCATTTTTGGTCGTTCTTTTTTTTTTAAGTGAAAATGTGCACATTTCCATTTTCACTTTTTTGTATAAAATCTTGCTTTTTGCGAAGACTTACAACTGTAGGTTAATTTTTGTTTACAGATTATCAGCAAATATTTCTGTTCAAGTACCTCATGAATTAATTGAATGAATTGTTATTGGAAAAACTAAACTTTAAAAATTTTTTTACCGAAACGTTCAATTTTTAAAATATGTATGCAATGAAGTACTGACAGTGTGCTTACTTTTTCTACATAAAACTAATTTTAAGTGTTACTTATTCGTCATTTTCAAAACACCCTGTATATTCAATTTCAAGTAGGGATTATAGTGATTCACAGATCTACAGTTGGTAGTGATATCGTTGGTAGTTCTGTTTAAGAATCCTGCTGTTTATGCGCAAACGTACTGTTTTTTCCAGGCGACACTAAAAACCGCAAGACTCCGTACCTTTTGCGCAGGCGCGAAATTGACTCCTGTCAAGAATGTCTATGAGAATCGTCTTGCTGCCCTTTTTCATATTTTTAAATCGTTCTAACCTCTAACTACATTTTTAACCGTCAATTCAATTCATGGTTAATCGTGTATGCTGATTTATTTCATTCGTTTTTGGATTTCCTTCATCTGCAGAATTGTGCACATGCAACAGTGTTTAATCTATGCATTAAACAAAGACTCATAATCATTGTTTAAAAAGCGAATTTATTCTGCTTTCTTAAAACAATTACTTATTTTTGTGTTTAGCTTATAAGTGGTGCTGGTGTAAATAGTGTCGAACAATTTAATGTATTTGTTTATATTATTAGGCAGACGTTTTTACGTTATATCTGTTATATTATATTAATCATTTTCAAAATCAGAAAAATATAAATAACAAAGAAGTACATCAAGACCGTGAAACGCAATTGAAGATAGCAATGCAAACGTATCGCATTGCAATGAATCAACTGGATGATGAAGCCTTTCAAGTAGCACTCAAGGAATTTGGAAAGCATACAGAAAAAGTTCAAAAACAAAGTAGAAATTTAAGAAAACGTAAAATGGCTAAACAGGAGTATTTCCCATCTAAGAAAAAATAAAGTACGTATGTAATCTAATCCCAAACATGAGTTTTTCTAAACATTAAATGAGAAACCTTGATTAAAAGTTTTTTTATTTTTCTAGATGATAAAGTTAACGAAAGCAGAAAGGAGTACATTAGGATTCAAATGTACAAAACCATTTTGTATGTACTCTTCAGAAAGACTTAATCTAATCGAAACAGTTGTACTTTGTATTTTAATAAAAACCTTCGAAAAAGTTTAAAGTGAGAATTGTTTCTTCGTTTTTTGTGATGTTTTAGCTTTGTTTCATAGAAACCTGTCCATAATTACAATAAATTTAATAATTAATTAAACATGTTATGTATTTATTTTGCATTATAAATTTGTTGAAATAATTTTTTATTTTTTATTTTATTTTCCATTCATATTAATAAAGAATGCGTTTACATTGTATATGAGTATCATTTTTCTGCCTACGTTATCAATTATTAGTAGATTACTGCCCAGTTTATTTCTACTCCTCAGATCAGAACGCTTGAGATCGTTTGTTTGAATTCGAATAAAAAGGCGGCAAGAGCAAAATCATAGACATGACTCAAAATTATTTCGCGCCTGCGCAAGAGCTACGGAGTCTTGCGGTTTTTAGCGTCGCCTGTTTTTTCCGCCTATTTCCACCATATTGCAATTTATGTTTTAATAACAAAAAGGTGTTTTACTAACAAGTTTTATTAATATTTAAAAAATAAAGCAAAATGCCACCGCGTTTGAAACATATTGAAGTTGAAAATTTTAAGTCCTATCGCGGCCATCGAGTGATTGGACCTTTAAAACCGTTTAATGCAGTAATAGGACCTAATGGATCCGGTAATTTGGTGTATTATGTTTATACTGTTTATCTTGAGTAAACTGTGTTTATTGTAGGAAAATCAAATTTTATGGATGCAATAAGTTTTGTAATGGGTGAAAAAACTCAAAGTTTGCGTGTCAAAAGGCTTAGTGATCTAATTCACGGAGCCTCCATTAGCAGACCTGTTTCACGAAGGTATTTGGCTCACAGAAATTGAGATTGTAATTTATAATTATTAATTGTATATTGTTTGTAGTGCTTCTGTGACGGCTGTTTTCTCTTTAGAAGAAGACAGTGATAATGAAATTCGTTTTCAAAGATCAGTACAAGGCTCTTCTTCAGAATATCGTATAAATAACAATGTAAGTATCACAATTGCAACATTTGTGGTTTAAGCTATTTAAAAACCAATTAATCATTGTATTTATACAGTATTTTTGAGTTTTGAGATGTTTATTATACTGATAATCTTGTGGTATATTTGTTCTTTTTTTTTTTTAAGATTGTATCCAATCAAGAATATCTTGCTGAGTTGGAAAAATTGAGAATAAATGTAAAGGCTAAGAATTTTCTTGTATTCCAAGGGCAGGTTGAATCAGTGGCCATGAAGAATCCTAAAGAAATGACTGCTTTATTTGAAGAGATAAGTGGGTAAGTAATAAATTATTATGGCATATATAGTCTTTTTAAAGAAAGGTAGATAACTAATAAAATGAATTTTAAGCTCAGGGGGCTTAAAAGAAGAGTATGAACGATTAAAACAACAAATGCAGAAGGCCCAAGAAGATTTAAACTTTGCTTATCAAAAAAAGAAAGGTATTAATGCTGAACGAAAAGAAGCTCGAATGGAAAAGGAAGAAGCTGATAAATATGCAAGACTCAAAGATGATCTGGTAATTAGTAATTTCTGATAAAGAAATGGAAAATTAAACGTGTATTTTTTAATTTTAGAATGACAAATTGGTGGAGCATCAATTATTTAAGCTGTTTCATAATGAACGTGAAATGAAAAATTTAGAGGGAGATTTAAAATCAAAGCAACGTGAAGTTGAAAAGATTGAGCGTAAAAAAGAAAAGGCTGAAGAGGTTCTTAAAGAGAAGAGAAAAGAACAAGGCAGACTGGGAAGGGAATTGGCAAAAATTGAGCAAGACATTCGTGAAGTGGTAAATATACTTTTTACTACTCAATTTTTTTTAATACCATTCTACAGAGGCATTGTTTTTCATGATTCATTCACATTAAACTTGTGTTTGTTACTAAAATCCATTTCTTTTAAGAATGTTCTATTCAAGCACAATTTATTAAGAAAGCTAGAAGCATCTTTTAAGAATTTTTTTTGCTTAATAAAGTGCAATTTCTAGGAAGTTGAGATTTCTAAAAAGAGACCTCAATTTATTAAAGCAAAAGAACGTGTATCTCATATGCAGAAGAAACTAGATGGTGCAATTAAGACTTTGGAACAAGCTAGAAAGGCTGATGAGGCACACAATAATGATATTCAGAAACTCATTAAAGAACTTGAAGAAGTAGAGCGTGCAAAAGAGGAATGGGAAACATCAGTTGCAGGTGAATCCCAAAGTCAAGGAAGAGATGTACATTTAGAAGATGAGCAGGTAAATTAATTTAGATTGAATTGTTTATTTTGCGTATATAAGTTAAAAAAATAGTTTAGATATTTAGAAAATATTAATTCCTATTTATTTAGGTCCGTGAATATCATCACTTGAAAGAGGAAGCAGCTAAGAGTTCAGCCCGTTACATGCAAGAATTGGATTCTGTTAATAGGGAACAAAAGGCCGATCAGGACCGTTTGGATAATGTATACAGGCTAAGAACTGAAGCAGAAAACCAACATCGACAAAAATGCCATGAAAAAGAAGAAATGGAAAAAAGAATCGACAAATTGGCAGAGCATATAAGGTAAAACAATAGTTGATCAAGCTTTGCTTAGGTATCTAGGCAACTGACATACTGCGTGTATGTTGGGTTGCATAAACCAAATATGTTTTTTCAAAATTTAGTCGAAAAAAAAATCGTGTTTCAAATTTGGATTGATTTATCACATCTAAAAACTCTGTATACTAAAATTAGAACAATTATAAATAAACATTTATTACATAATGTTATACGATGTCTTAAAAAAAAGATACCAGTAAGCTTTAAGAAACAGATTCTTTTAATTCGTGCTTCGCACTTAAAAGAATCCCTTATGTCTTTGTTATTTGATAATAACAACATTAAATAAAAGCAAATTTTGTGATTTAAATTTAATTACTTTGATAATTAGTTTATCAAGAATTTTCTGTTGCATAGGACAAGCGAACAAGCCTTGCTTGAACAGCAACGTTTGCGCGAAGATTTGAAGTCTGATGTTGGGTCTTCTAAAGACCGCGTTCAGGAAATTCAAAAACAACTTGACGACGTATTGGAACAACTTGGAGATGCAAGAATTGATAAGCATGAAGACGCAAGACGTAAAAAGAAGCAGGAGATTGTTGAGCGATTCAAGAGCAATTATCCTGGAGTGGTAATTGTTTTTATTACATATGTAAACTAATATTGTTTAGAACACAAAATTATCAAAATTATGATAGTCGTCAAAATAGACCTGTCTTATAGTAAGCACTATCTCATTATGATTTAGATCTATGAAATTACTTATCAACCTTAAGTTTGGATGAGTTGAAAGGAGATTTTTAATAATGATTGTAATTTAATATGATATTAGTGAAAGGGCTCGCTTTCAAATACGTCTAACTTATTATAAAAATTTACGTATAATTATTTTCTTATTCAGTTTTATTTCCCAATATTCACTAATTGGTCTAACATGATTTAATTTTTTTTTCTTTATTCGAAATTTTATACAATACACATTGGACTTTATTAATTAGAAATTTATTTCTTTTACAGTACGATCGTATGATAAATATGTGCCAGCCTTTACATAAGCGTTTCAACGTGCCCGTTACCAAAGTGTTGGGTAAATACATGGAAGCAATTGTGGTTGATACGGAGCACACAGCTCGTCAGTGCATAAAATATTTGAAAGAACAGATGCTCGAGCCAGAGACGTTTTTGCCCCTCGATTATTTACAAACGAAACCGCTCAAGGAACGTTTACGAAACATCACCGAGCCAAAGGGCGTCAGGCTGCTTTTCGACGTTCTACATTTCGAACCCCCCGCAATTGCGCGGGCCGTCATGTTCGCAACTAATAATGCCCTCGTTTGTGAGCACCCTGAGGATGCGATGGCAGTCGCCTATGATATCGGAGGACGTTATGACGTAAGTTCATTTTTTGTATAAATTATTTACATCTAATTTTGGAATTTAATGTACTACAACAAGGCACTTTAATATTAAATTATCGAAACGAAATAATACTGTTTTTGTTTTCAGGCTGTATCTTTGGATGGAACCTTCTATCAAAAATCTGGAATAATTTCCGGTGGAAGTTTGGACTTGGCTCGTAAAGCTAAAAGATGGGATGAAAAGCATATGTCGCAGTTGAAAGCTCAAAAGGTCAGTATTTTTATGTCAATTCACTTACCACTTTAAATTTAGTCATTTATTAAATAATATAAGTTATTATAAAATAAAAATTGTTATATTGAAATAAAAATCACAGGAAAAACTGACGGAGGAGCTTAGGGAAGCTATGAAAAAGTCGCGAAAGGAATCTGAACTTAATACTGTTGATTCTCAAATTCGCGGTTTAGAAACTCGTCTTCGTTACGCTAAAACAGATATGGACAGCACTGTAAGAATGCTCTTTATTTATGAAATAAAAAACAATTAATTGCATTTAACATTATTTTTAGACTCATCAGATAGCATTAGTAGAAGAAGAAATAGCAAACTTGGCTAGGACAATAAGCGAATATGGAGTATGTTTGATGTTTAATATGAAAAGAAATTCATTTTATTTCAATTTTGTTTTTTTTTAGCCACAAATCGCGGAAATAGAAAAAACTATGCAAATACGTGAACAACAAATTGAAGAAATTAAATTGCAAATGAACACCGTCGAAGATCGCGTGTTTAAAAAGTTTTGTCAAGAAATCGGTGTTAAAAATATTCGTCAGTATGAAGACAGGGAATTGAGAGCACAGGAGGAACGCAAAGAGAAACGTCTCGAATTCCAGAAACAAATAAATCGTATCACCAGCAATTTGGAGTTTGAGAGAAGTAGAGATACTAAAAGTAAGACATATTTTTTCTCTTATATTGTGAAATAAGTAAAAGTTAATGATTAATCGCTTTTATTCTTTTTTGAATTTTTTCTCTATGATTGTTAACTAAAATCAAAATATCCAGACGTTAATAACATTAAAACAAATAAATTAGTATTTTTGATCATGTTTAGCTGCTATATTTTATATTGTTTATGTTTATAGGTAATGTTAGTAGGTGGGAACGTGCTGTAAGTGATGATGAGGAGCGCCTCGAATCATGTAAGAAACAGGAGCAAAAGCAGAGGGAAGAAATTGATAGGGACTTAAGGCAGGTTGAGCAGCTCAAAGCAGAACGTCTTAGTAAGAAACAGGAGTGTGACAGTATTGAAGATGAGGTTGGTAAAGCTAGACGAGAAGTGGGACAAATCGCCAAAGATATTCAAGCTTCGCAGAAACAAGTGACGTCCATTGAAGGGAAAATTGAAAGCAAGAAAAGTGAAAGACATAATATTTTGATACAATGTAAGGTGAGTTTTACAAAATTATTGAAATAAAAAAAAAGGACTTTGTTGAAAAATAAGATAAGTAAACCACACGTGTAAATAAATTTTAAATAATATTAATATGAATATTACTGTGAGAAAGTTTGTTAAAAAAGACTCTATTGCATTATTTAGATGGATGATATCGCAATTCCAATGTTGGTGGGTAACATGGAAGATATTTCCCAACAAGATTCTTCTCACACATCGTCGGGAGAAGTCAGCAGCACAACACAACAGTATGAAAGGGAAGCGAGGTATGAATTGACTTTTTTTTTGTTTTGACAAAATCTTGCAATTATCAAGGAGTAAGTTAATAGAATATATAGCAAAAGATTTAGGCAATATTGTGAATAATTTTGATTAGATTATATTTAATATTATCAATTATCTTGACATTAATAAAATGGCACTCTAAACTGTGGTATTTTATTTTGATTTCAGAATACAGATCGATTACAGTCAGTTATCAGATCATTTAAAAGAACTGGAAGAAAAAGATGAAATTAAAAAAATGGCTGACAAACTGCTAAATTCTATAAAGAGCCTTCAGGACACTTTAATGAAGATACAAGCACCTAATATGAGGGTAAGAAAAACGAAAAGTACTATCAACATGCAAAGTGAATTTTAATTGTACAAATTGCTTCAAAAAATAGTAAAATAACTAATTACGCAGAAATAGATGGGTTCTGCTTGTGCTAATTTCAGTTGAATATTCCAGGCACTTCAAAAACTGGAACAGGCGCAGGACAAACTTCAGTCAACCAATAAAGAATTTGAAACATTGCACAAGCAAAATAAGAAGGCCAAGTCCGCCTTTGAAAAAATTAAGCAGCAACGTTATGACCGTTTCTCCAAGTGCTTTGACTATGTGTCCAATGAAATTGATAACATTTACAAGTCTCTAGCACAAAACAATTCAGCACAAGCTTTTCTAGGTGCTGAAAATCCTGAAGAACCTTACTTGGATGGAATTAATTACAACTGTGTTGCTCCGGGTCAGTATTCCTTTTTGTTGGGTACTTTCTGTTATTGCATAATTCTGGATTTATTTAAATAATTCGTTAAATGTATATGAAGTTGATGTGGTAATTTTATTTCCAGGAAAACGTTTTCAGCCCATGTCCAACTTGTCTGGCGGTGAAAAAACAGTAGCTGCCTTGGCGTTGTTGTTCGCCATTCATAGCTTTCAGCCATCACCATTTTTTGTTCTGGATGAAGTTGATGCCGCTCTCGATAATACAAATATTGGAAAAGTTGCCAGATACATTAGGGAGAAGACAGAATCCTTGCAAACGATTGTAATATCATTGAAGGAGGAGTTCTATTCTCATGCAGATGCTCTCATTGGAATTTGCCCTGAGGTAAGTCTTAAGCTTTGCTTATTTCGAATTTACTTGTTAATTATTTACATTACAAACAAATGGTGAAATTAATAGATCGGTAAAGGTTTTTTAAAAAANAAGTAAATAAACTACAACTTCATCAGTTAATTCATCCCAATATATAATGCAGTGTAAAAAATAAGTGGTCCTTTGACTTTGGCTTTGGTTCGACTTGAGTGAACGACTAGTTTATCTATCAAACATGGGAAAGGTAAGTTATGAAACTTTTATTTATACAACAATTTTTCTTTTGTACTTTATTTGTGTTTGATCTTCGATTCAAGAATCACAAAGTAATATCTAATTATTAAATTCGAAATTAATTAACTTAACCTTAAATTTAATTTATATAAACAAACAAAAAGTTTTAAATGACATTCTTTAAATATTGTACCAACATAAACAACTATTTTGTCAAAGTCCCCTCAGTAATGTTTTGATGTATCATAAATTCTTATCTTATTCACAAAGAATGTTATTTTAAATTGTATTCATTGTGATAAAACATAAATTGCGGCTTTATAATAAGTACAATATAATTTGTTTCCTTATTCATTATGCTTTCCGGTAATCTAGATTAAATGTTAAATTATATTTATGTATATGTTGGTAACTTGAACTAGTTCCTTTTTTCAAAAGGAAATGCCTACTTTTACACATTATTGTCGTCGGAGCTTGGTCGCAGCGGTACAACGTGTTAACGTCTCTTTCGTGGACATTATTTAATAAAAAATTGATGATTATGCATTAACAAATTTAAGTGCCGTTTTTACAACTTGTTGTTTAATAGACAGGGTATTGTGTGATGCATTTTTTCAGTCAAATAAAGGCGATGTCTCCAGATATAAGATCCCATGGCTCAGCAGCACAAGGTAAATTATTTCTTAATATTCTTGCAGGAGTGCGTAAATAGAGTAATAATATTCTGGAGTTGGGTAATAAACAGGTGGGACCGGGATGTATAACGTATGCTGGAAATTATACACTGAATTTTTTGTTACCAGTAAAGGATAAGTGACGTTACTGGTGGGAAAGTAAAGAAATAATACTTATTGGTTTTATGATCTAACAATATTCCTGAAACATTCTCATAACAAATAAAACAATTGTTCAATATCTGATATTGAGGTAGATGAAGTTTATTTCTCTTGATCAATCAGAAGTGTGATTGAGCTCTTGTTTTGTCGCTGTATTTGAGTTACTTTTCTTGGATAATGAAAACCTAAAATAAAATCCAAAAATTCAGGAGTATGTTCACTGCTATTGTCTATAATATTAAGTACACAAATTGGAATTTGAAAATGTTATAAGTAATTAAAATTACACATTTCGATTATAACTTTTGAGATTCCTACATTTGTTTGTCTTTTATTTTCTACTTATAGGTATACTTGTTAAAATTTATGGTAGATGGCGCAACGTTACTGGTGAAGACTTTAAAACTATAAGGAGGTAAAATGTAAATCTTTCATTTTCAATTAACTAGCTATTTTTGTGAATATTTACTCTACTGTATAGGTACCCAGGGGTATGGGTGAGGGTATGTAAAGCCCCCAAGTGTAAGGGAGGGGTGCGGAAAATTTCAAAAACTAACTGTTAATTACTAAGTGTTAATTTTTTGAACTTCTTCAGACTATTTTCACCAAAAAATAATTGCTAAAATTCTCTATTTAATAAGTTTGATCTTGAAACATCGTGTATGAAACACTTGACATTGATTTCACTAACTTTTATTTACTTTTTGCGAACATTTTATTTTGCTACCCTAAATAAGTCTTGATTAATAATGAATCGAGAAAGGGCTTGCAAAATTTTATTTCTGGGGTAGTAAAATACCTGTTCGGCTGGATAATACTGGTGTGGAACCTGTTTTGGTTTCTTTTAAATCAGTAATTGATAAGATTTTGATTATTTTATAGACCTGTTTTTCTGTTTCGACGGAAAATCTCTCATTCTATTGAAATTCACTTTTGTCATATCCCGTAATACATATCGTCTCTTTAACATGGCAGTTTCTTTCTCAGTTAAAATCGAAGCGTATCTATCATTCGCGTAAACGTCTCTTTCATTAAACCATTTTCGCATATATTCGTTTGACATTAAGAATGGAAAGTGCACTGGTTCCTGAAAATTTCGTGGAGAAAAGTATTCATTTAAAAATCAAAGAATGATAAAAGGCAGTAGTGTAGACAAGAAGATATTGACAAAAAAAAAAGTGAATCCTTGTAGTCAGGATGTCTATTTGTCTGTCTATCTGTCCGTATGCCTGTGTGGAACACTTTTAATTGAGCTAGGACCTTCAAATTTGTACTGAAGGAACATTTATTATGGTATAAACTCGGGAAAAGTCTGAAAAACACGAATTTTAAATTTTCAATAAGTAATAATAATATAATTTATTTTCGAATAAATAAACCAAAACATTAAATTTTGTATTCAGTTGTTTAAATCAAAGCAATATTGGGGTTAAAAGTACCCTATTTATTAAAAAAAAAAAACACAGCCGATGTTTCGCCTAGACTGTTGATTAAGTGGTACAACAAATCTATCGATATTATATTTTTAACTATATAAAACCAGCCTTGAAAAAGTCCAACAACCTGGGCGAAACGTGGGCTGTGATTTTTTTAAATAAATACAGTACATTTAACCGTAATATTGCTTTTATTGGAGCATTGATAGGGTACGAAACCCTCGATACGTTACGAGTCAAAATTTTGTTTATTACATACAATTTTTACTTATTACCCTCCTGTAGAATGAGGGGGAGGGACGGTGCAGGAAAATTATAAAGAATATCTTTAATACAGTCTGATTAAAAAGTTACAGTTTAAAATGTCAATTTTTGAATGATTAGGTTAAAATTGTATTTATTATTGTTGCTTCATCAATCACGTAGTTCTTTTATTGTTAGTAATTGTGTCGTTTTTAATACAAGTTGATGTAATTTTACTGATTACTTTTCTTACCTTATCATAAGACGTTTGAAAGCCAGTATAGCCAGACGCTCGTGCTTCTGATGAAATAATGTTGTCCGATCTTCGAATTGGTTTGACAGGTACCCATTTTAATTTCGATTTGGCCCCCGACATTTTAATTTGACCAAAAAAAAAAAACAAACCACGAAGATTACATTAATTTTAACCCTCGCCGATAAAAATAACTGCCCTTAACCCAGTGACAGTAAACTATTTGATTTGCATGTATTTAAAATAACTGTTCAATGTCTTCATTGAAATCCATCAAGGTGCTAAATGAATAACTAAAAAAAGGGCTTCAGGTGCAGTATCAACCCTACAGTACGGCTGATTTTACACATGAAGACTTTTTATTAGTTATTCACAAATATTTAAAGCAATAGGTTTAATTTTTTTCCCTTATTATATAGATAGGGTTGTAAATGATTTACTTAAAAAAAAAAACTAATATCGACGTTTCGCCCGTAGTTAGGCGGTTGTTTCAGGGTAGATTTACAAAACTTGTGCGGTGTTGTTTGTTGTTATGGGTAATTAAAATTGTAAATAGTTTAAAGATTTTAATCGTGTGATTGTTTATTACAATAATCTGCTTAACATAAAACACATAAATTAACAGGTAACAATGATTCTTAGAAGGTACAATTCATTTTACACGTGCATGCATTTGTTTCATGTCTTTGGTAGGTTCGCAAAGTTTGCTTAAAATAAATAATTTACCTATTGCAATGCGTTTTTTTAAAGAGAAAATTGAATATAAAATCCAGTTTTCATTATGTAATAATAAATTTAGAAGATATTTCAATTTTTTGTGTAGAAAATTTATAAATTTTGATATTTTGGTTTTAAATCATAAGAAAAACTGTATTTTTGCAATTTTCTTCGATATGCATCGGCGATAAGTTATTAATTATAGTATACTAATATTATCACAAAAGTAAAAAGGCACATGTTAATATGCTAATTTACAAGAGGAAAAATATACAATATATTTATAAAAATTCCATTTTGATTATTTACAATTTCATTTTTACAGTTACGTTCTGTAATTTGTTTTTACAAAATTCGAACGTAGGAATAATAAAATATATTTGTATTTTTAGATATTTTGGTAAACTTTAGGATTCAAAATTGCGTATTTCTTACGTGTGGATATTGTGTTTATTAAATAGTAGTACTTACAATATAACTCAGGATAATTGAATTTTTTATTGAAAACCTTAAACAATTAAATTAATGGCAGGCGGGCCCTCGAACAGGAATTTTTTGATTCATACATTAAATTCGTTTCTTATTTTCTAATCTATAGATTTAGTCAGCTTAGTATGTACAGGGCGATCTACTTAACATTCCACTAGCGTCAGTCTTCTTTGTTATTCTTTTTCGAGCTAGCATTGCCATCATTTTATAAAACCATACATTTTTTAAACTGCCTTTTTAATAAGATATCAGAAATAAAACACTTGGTACACTTTTGTTTCACAGTTTATTTAGAACACTCTAACAATTCCATTATCGTTTGATAATGATGTTTCTCTTTGATAATGGTTTAGCAGCCGAAACAATTGTTAGAGTGTTCTAAATAAACTGTGAAACAAAAGTTTACCAAGTGTTTTATTTCTGATATCTTATTAAATATGTTTCACCAAGTGCCTAGCCAAGAATCAATTTCTTACATGCCTTTTTAATTTTAAAAATAACAAAGAAACTGAAGTGAGATGTACAGAAAAAATCGAGTATATTAAAAAAGTTCGGGTCTATATTGCACTTTTTCGTTCAAGTCGACTACAGAGTATTTAAAAGTCTTTCACGCTATAATAAATGAGTATTCAGAGATATCACATTGCGGATAGGCAAAAATAGTTCGTTTCTATTCGGCAAACGTTTGTAAATATTGCACTGGATTTTTAACGTCATTTGGCACTAGATAGCCTTCCGAATCCAGAAGGTCTACTACTTCACACGTTACCGCAGGTAAGGGTGGCGGGCGGGGAAGTCTCGTAGTCCTATTTAGCGTTTCGCTTTCGAACTTCACCATTTCAGACTCGTCTTCGCTAGATTCAAGTGCGACATAAGTCTTTCGAATTCTCTCGTAAATATCGGGAAATTTTATTCTGTCACGTGGTTCAGTTTTCCAACAGCATTTCATCAGCTCGCAAATGACCGTCGGACAGTTTTCCGGTGGGATTAGCATGATCCCTTGCAGGATTAGTTTGACCACTTCTTCATTTGTGTGTCCGTAGTACGGTTGTTTACCGTAACTGTAAATTTCCCACAAAATGACCCCGTACGACCATACGTCCGATTCCAGGGTAAAGCGACCGTACATGACGCTTTCAGGTGACATCCATCGGACGGGAAGTAATCGAGAGCCACCAATCTAAAATTCAAATTTTGTTTGGTTAACCGTAATGTTAAAGGCAGAACCGTCTGTAAATAAGACCTCACGATTTTATTGCAAACAAAAAAGGGATCAAAAGAAATCTCATATTGTGTACTTAGAAATATAAAACCCTGCTGTTTTTCTTGAGTCACACATTTGTTTTTAAAAGGGGGTAGACTGATGTAGAGATGCACTAGTAACTCTAAATTTTAGAGACGTGTATTAAGGTGGTAAGTACGTTAAAGTTATACCTTTTATTTCTAAAATAGTGTTAAGGTCTACGATTTGTCGCTAATTTGTCACTAGAAAATGGTATTTTTACCAGCGAAAAATGACTGGTGAGCTGCCAACGTCGAATTTCACATAGGAATAGTAATTGTATAGAAAAAAAAATATCGTAAAAACCCCTGTTTGTCGTCAATTTGTCGATGGATAGATAAATGCTGTAAGGGTTATAATTTGTCGCTAATTCGTCACTAAAAAATGGTACTTTTACCTATTTTGTCGCGAGTCCAGACTCGAGTTGATAAGAACACTTAGCGTATTTCAGAATAGAAATATCATAGATAAATACTGTTACGGACCTTAATTTGTCGCTATCCTGCCAGTAAGGATCTTAATTTGTCGCCAATTTACCACTATTTTTTTTATGATATTTCTATTTTAGGATACGCTTTCCAATTGTTTTTTCGCTAATCAATTCGAGATTGGACCCACTACAAAATGGGTAAAAGTTCAATTTTTCAGTAACAAATTAACGACAAATCAAAGACCTTACATTATTTCTCAACGCCAGTCCTATTTTCATACACGCTAAGTGTAATGGTAATTTGGCGCCTCTACAGTTAACATTCCTTTTTAGTTGGATTGCCAGAGGAGAAAGACTAACGATAAAATGTGTAAAAATCGGCGACAAATTATAGACCTTACAATATTTCTCTGCACCACTTATATTTCCAGACATGCTACGTGTAGTGTCATTTTGGCGTCTCTAAAGTCAATAGTCCTTTTTCGCTGGCTTGTTAGAGGATAGACTAGCGACAAGTTGGGTAAATGTACTATCTTTCAGCGACAAATTATAGTCCTTACATCTCCTCTACACAACTTTTCTAGATACGCTATGCATTGTGTCACAGGTCAGCAATTCGTGTATATTGATTAACAGGTTAAAGCGACAAATTTTTCGGTTTGACGACAAATTATAGTATATTTTAGAAATGTTAAGTATAACTTTGTTGTGCTAGCTTGTTATACTTTTTATAGCACGTATTATAGCGTACAAAAAACTAAAATCTTGTGACGTCTCGTTCCTATGACGTCTAAGGGTTCAAAGTCTTTAAGTTATTATACAATACTAGGAAAGTTGAATACTTACTTTGTAATAGTCGCAAGTGTAGACGTCCCTGCTCATCCCGAAATCGGCAATTTTAACGACGGGCCCGTTTGTCACCAAGCAATTCCTGCAGGCTAAATCCCTGTGGACAAACCTTTGAGAAGCCAAGTAGGTCATCCCGCTTGCTATCTGCAGCGCTAGTGACATCAGGTCTCCCGTTGTTAAGGTGGGCATGGGTTTTTCTGGGTCCGGTGGATGGTTTTGTGATCTTAGAACTTCGGCTAGATCGCCGTGGGGCATATATTCAAAAACCATCATCGGCGATAAACCGGATTCTGTAAGTTTACCAATTCGGTAATATACCATAAAGAACACAACAGTGATGATTTGATCATGAATAGAAAAGGTGAAGTTAATTTATTGACGAATTTATGGAATTTGAAATAATTTAAAATAAATTAGAAATACGTATTAGGGGAAATTATGGCATGTGCCAATTTTTGGCGATTTTGGTCACCAAATTAAATCAGAGCTGTTGCACAATTTTTCCTGAATTTCTGGATTTTCTAACTAATTTAACAGTAAAATCGAAATATGGCTTTGTTAGAGAAATTGAAATACGAATCAAAATAATCAGTTATTTCGATTAATAGGTTATTCCATAGATAGAAATTTTTCATAATCGATAATCGATCATTAAATTTAACAATCGCCCGGTCCCTATAGTAAGTAGGCCCGCATACCTCTTAGTACAACTCCAAGAAGCGATAAAATGTTGCCGTGTCTGAACGTGCTCATTATGTCGACTTCGCGAAAAAAATCCTCTTCGATTTCCCTGCTTGCAGTTTCCTTAAGAACCTTAATTGCCACAACCTCTGTAAACTCCTCGTTGTCCCGCATGAGTTCACCTGTAATAAAAAAATAATGTTGCTTTGATAGGGAAATTATACTAACGGATTCGTTATCTTTTGTAAGGAATAATGGGTAATCGAAAATTCTGTGGGTATATTACTTTAAAAGTCTGATTTAACAATTTACATATTCAGTAGAAAACGTAACTAATTTGATGCTTTTTTTATGGATGATTCGTCCCTTGCAAATGAGTTTTCCATTTTGTTATTGTTATAGAGAGTTACGCACACATATATTGTTTAATTTTTAATATTATATAATTTAATTAGTAATGCAATGCAATGTTTGATCTTCNTATTATTTAATTTTTTTTAATTAAAAAAAAAAGAAAACGACCTTTCATTTTATGAAGCAAATTGAATGTGTATGTATATTTTTTTTTGTGTAGGTTGAAATACGATTTTTTATCGTCGACATATTCTCTTGGTGGAACGAAAATGCGTTTGTGTGATAACCCGTGATAAGTACTGTCTGAAGATAACACTATTACTGCAGCTGTAGGTCAATGAATTTAAGTATTAAATATGATAGTCTCCCTTGCCAGCGACAATTTAAAGAAATACCGACGGCGTATTACGTACGACTAATACAAGATTTTTGTTTATTTAATTCTGTAAAAAAAAAACTAATTTAAATTTGAAGAATTTAAGAAAGAAATATTTGAAATAGTTTCATTTGTATAACAAGTTTTTATAAATTAATTCTTTCCAGGTATTTCAGAAGTTTTAATAGCCAAAGTTTTAATTTTTTGAATTTATTACTGATGTAGATTTTCTTGCGAAATTGTAACTCTAACGATAAACTAGAGAAAATAAATCATCTAGTAGCATGCTATAATAAATTTTAGCAAATTAAATAAAGACCTAAAAATCTAGATATTATTAAAAATATGAAAAACTCATGATAAAAAGAACTAAAGAATTTCGAAATATGTAGGTGCCGACTAAAAATGGCGATCCTGTAATACTGCCTGAGAGTAACAATCGCTAAAAGTTATTAAGTTTATATAGACGTAACAGGCCACATTATTTCGATCACGCACATTGTATATTAAAAAATGCTGATTGGGATGTTATAATACGTTAGTAACCTTTAAAATATGTTAAAATGTTCGTTGCCCCAGAATTATAATACACATATTTTGCTGAGATAAACAATAAAACGAGTTGATACAACTCGAAAAGATCATTTAACTACTATTTCGCATTTCAGTGAGTTGTAAATAGTGTAAACTGTACAAAGAATCGAAACAATACAAATCGTGATATCTTTTTTCTATACATACATACGTATGTAAGATAAAACTGTACTGAAAAAAAAAATGAAGTATCTTGTATCTTTGTTTTATCTCGAAAGATAAACGTCAAATGTCCGGGTGTTTGTCGTTGTTGTTCAGTGTGGAAATTGTACTGTGGTGGAATAGAACAGCGCCGCCAGTGAGACAATCAAAAACCTAGGAAGATAGAGAAAGCGCCGTTATTTGCGTACTATACTCTTCGACGGTCACAGGTCATGGAACAGAATCATCGTCGTAGCCGCAGTACAAATCCCATCCCAGCATGATAAGCAATCTAATAATTCGAAGGCGTAGAGCTGCATCGGCTATGTTTGCATTAAAACGTTCTTCTATTTTGTTACACGAAGAAGCGTCATTAACGCGATGTATATGTGCAACATCATCGTCCGTCGTACTAGATCTGCAAGACATACCAACGGCGAAGGGAGTGCCTTTCTTCGGCACCGTATTCGCCATGTTGGCGAAGGGTGGTGCCGAAAAGTTACACGAATACGTCGATTTTCGACATAAACAATTGGGACCGATATTTCGCGAGAAAGTCGGTCCAGTAACTTCTGTTTTTTTATGCGACCCCAAGGACATGAGGGCGGTTTTTTCATCAGAAGGAAAGTACCCGGTTCATCTACTCCCGGAAGCCTGGACCTTCTACAACGAGACGTTTAATGTGGAACGCGGCATCTTCTTCATGGACGGCGAGGAATGGCTTCAGAACAGAAAGATTTTGAACAAACTTCTCCTTAAAGGAAATTTAGATTGGATAGGAAGTGCTTGCGACGAAGTTTGTGAGGATCTAGTGAATCGATGGAGTGTAATGGCGGACAACGGTCAAATAATACCTGACTTGGAAACTCAACTTTATCGTTGGTCGATTGATGTGATGTTATCGGTAATTTTAGGGGCCAAGGAGTACAATAGTGTAAAAAATGATCTGAATGATATTGTAAATGATCTTGCCGCGAATATTTATCTAATTTTTAAGACGAGTGCAAAGTTACAATTGGTTTCCGCGCGTTTCGCATCTAAACTGGGACTTTCGTCGTGGCGAAACTTTGCGAAAGCCATGGATAGATCGTTGCAACTGACGAATACTTTGATGACCAGATTGATCGATAACGATCGCAATTCTGATGGACTGTTGTCAAGACTGAAAAATGAAAATGTAAACAGGACCGATATATTGAGGATCCTCGCAGATTTTATCATTGCTGCCGGTGATACGACAGCTTACACCATGGAATGGTTGCTGTATGTCGTTGGGTCGGATAAAGCGGTCCAGAAAAAAGTGCGATCTCTTCAGAGCACTGAGGAGGCATCATCTTACCTCCGATCAGTGGTGAAGGAAAGTCTACGATTATATCCGGTTGCGCCGTTTATAACGAGGATATTGACCCAGGGAGTTACTGTTAAAGGATTTAACATTCCAGCGGGAACTCTGGTGGTGTTCTCGATTTATACGAGTGGTAGAGACCCACATGTTTTCGAAAATCCTCAACTTTTCATTCCGGAACGGTGGTCCAGAGATAGTAATAATAATAATAATCTAGTTTCAATGCAACAATCGACTTTACCGTTTGGATTCGGAAGCAGATCTTGCATCGGTAAAAAAGTCGCCGAGATGCAATTGCAAAAAACAATCGGCAAAATTGTTCATAGTTTCGATATGGATGTTGTCAACAAAGATGAAATACAAATGATATTGAAAATGGTAGCAGTTCCTTCTAACCATTTAAGACTGAGACTGATTCGCTTATAAACATGATAGTTACTTATAAGATAAGTGATAAGAAGTATAATCGGGCGTGTGAATATTATTAGCTGCAGAAGATAATTTGTTTTGAAAAATAGTTGTTTGTTTNGTGAGACGCTGCGATCGCTATGTTGCCGTAATATCAAGGAATAATTGGACATGTTCAAGGAGGGTTTTTCGCTAATGCCGTTCGTCTCCATCCCCATGATTTAACTGAAAAATAACTTAGCGGATTTAGAAATAGCCATCTATTGAGATACATGTGCAATGTGGTGCAGTCTAGCAGGTTGTCTCATTGCAGGCTACGGTGGATAGAAATTCCATATCTTCTTCGGCTACCTCCATAGAAAATAGTTGGGCATATTCGTCATCATTAAACAGTGGTTTATCAACGATACTCAAATGTTTGTTACTGCTTACTGTTAAGTCCTAAGTTTTTCTCTTTTTTTTGTACATAAAATATTTTCAATTTGAAATTTATATTTGTAATGTTAAATACTTAGTGAGTTAGTGACAACAGAACTAGTTTTACATTTTACCTGGGTATTCACAGAACCCTTATAAACTGGAAAGAAATGTTGTATAGCGATTGTCCTAATATTTAATGTACAAAAAAAAGAGAAAAACTTAGGACTTAACAATCCTTTTTATCCTGTTAAAATGAAGTTTTCGTTGTAATGTTTTTTTTACTGCCCACTGTACATCTACAGTGTGTTATAGTTAAGACTCGACTTTGATATATGTATTTGCATTTAATTTCCATAAAATTTAAAACTATTACAAATTACACGTGTTTACATAGTCTTTTCTTTAACCATTGCCATTAATTTTCTTAATCAGACAGCGAGTTAAGTTTAACATTTTGAACAGTACACGTACTTACCACTGCATGTCTAGACTGTTAATTTACTACGCGGCCGGCCTAACTTACGAATCAGCAAAAAAATTATCGACATATTTTACATACATCGATGTGTCACGTTCCTTTTAGAAAATAAAATAAAATAGAGAATGCTGACATGAGTGTTTTTCCAAAATTTTGACTGATATATGCATAAATTATTAGTCGTGTTTTATGTATGTATCTGGGGTGGTAAATGTCCCTTACAGTAATTAGTGTAGTTAATGAGCATGAAGTGCAATTAAGACAACCCCAGGTTTTTTTGTTAAATAATATACCGAGGTGATCGTGCTATATTCATTAGTTTTTCTTAATATTGTCGACTAAATAAGATACACCCATGAACCAAACATTGAAGTACATCACGGGATCAATTAACATTGACAACAACTTCTCCTGAAATATAATTTAATATTGGAGGGTTTCGCACCCCATAAATAACCCTTGGACCCGCTGACAGATTATGTTATACGCATAATCCTACCCTAACTGTCTCTTAAAGTTTCGATACAAAAAATTATTGTTGGACAAAAATTACTTTCCCTTAAAAACTAAGAATTTAATGTTGGAGGGTGTCGCACCCTGTAAATAACCCTCAGACTCGCTAACAAATTATGTCATACGCATAATCCTACCCTAAATGTCTCTTAGAACTCAGATATAAAAAATTATTCATCATCATCATCATAAGGTCGTCAGTCCTAAGACTGGTTGGACACGTATCTCCACTCCTTCCTATCCTGAGTTCATCTTCGCATTTCCCTAAAACTAGAACATCCCACATCCTTAACTATTTGCGAACAGTAATCTAATCTAGGTCTACCTCTACCCCTCCTAACTCCTGTTTCTGCCTCTAATATGTCTCTGACTAGACCTTCATGCCTCAGAAGGTGTCCTACCAACCTATCTCGCCTATTTTTTATTGACTTCCATAGAGTCCTCTGCTCTCCTATTCTTTTTATTACCTCTTCATTTCTAACCTTCTCTATACATGGTATTCTCATCATCCGCCTATAACACCACATTTCGAACGTTTCTAACCTTTTCTTTTCCGCCGCGCCTACCGTCCATGTTTCGCACCCGTACAATCCCGTGCTCCAAACATATACCTTTAACAACCTTTTTCGAATTTCTAAATTAACGGTTCGCGAGCATAGAAGTGACTTCTTTTTATTAAAGGCGACACGACCCTGCGCTATCCTCTGCTTTATATCCCTACTACTCCTTCCATCCTCACTTATCTGACTTCCTAGGTATCTAAAATCAGCCACTTCTTCTAATTTTTCGTCTCCTATCTTTATATTCGCTCTTTCCCTACTTTTTCTTCCCTTGCATACCAGTATTTTAGTTTTACTTTTATTTATTTTCATACAGTACTGATCTGTCAGTACCGCTTCCATTTTATTTAAAGCTATCTCTAGGTCCTCCTTGCTAGATGCTAATACTGCTATATAAAAAAATTATTGTGGAACAAAAATAACTTCCCGTGGAAAATAATAATTTAATATTAGAGGGTTTCGCACCCTGTAAATAACGCTCAGACCCGCTGACAAATTATCTCATAGACATAATCTTACATTACGCGATTCTTAGAGGTAGGATACAAAACATTATTGTAGGGCAAGAAAAACTATCGCTGAAAAATACTAATTTTATATTAAGGGACTTAACACTCTATAAATATTTGTAACGTTTTTTATATATTTTTTTGCGATGTAGTTAATGTGTTAATATGTCCCGTGAGGTATTTGGGAGTTTGGTTCATTCTGTGCATGTGGTCCATCCGTGAGATAGCGAATGTTTCTTTAACTAAAACTAAATCACCTTTAGAAGCGTATGCAGGTATTGCTTTTGGTGTTCTCATAAAACTTAGGACTCTAGGAAGTAGCTGTTTCTTAATATTACTTGCTTACCTTTAAAGACTTTGCCGAAACATCCTTCCCCGATTTCATTTAAGAACTTAAGAGTTTCCCGCCTAAGTACGGGGACGGAAGTTCCGGTGCAGGCGGAATATTGAGGGTTGGGAGCGTAACGTTCGGGAACTAGAAGGCTTCGTTTGAGAGCTATCGGTGAAGGTGACGACTGCAACAATATTCCATCGATAAGTAGGAAATAAATTACATTTAAATACTAAAAGGCGAAGGTAGCGCCTCGGACTTTTTACTTTTATCAAAAGTTTGTGATAGGTTAACGAATTGCCCTTTTCGAAAATAAAATTATTCCAGCTGTATTTTTGTAACTAGAGTTATCATGTAATTTATACAATAGAAAATATCAGAATTTGTGAACCAAAGAACACTAAGCGTACTTAGGTACCACAAAGAACAAGTCGATGGTTACAATAGAAATATTATTGATGAAACAGTCAAATTTAAAAATATCATTTTAAAATTTTCAATTTTCAAAACCAAACCATCAAAATCAATAGAATATATCGATACTATGTCGTATGAGCCAAAATTTACTCGAGGGTTACTTTCCCTAAACTTGATTATCGAATTGCGTATAGTTCAAACTAGAACTTCCTTCAAACTCTTTTTGGCAATCCGAAGGGTAAATTTTCTAGAAAAGTTGGGGATACGTGAAATTGAATGTGAAGAATGTGGTACGAAATATGTTGGACAAACTAGGCGCTCAATTTACATTAGGCTCAAAGAGCATTTAGCTTATGGAAGGTTTGCTAGCAATGAAAAATTTCTGCTTAGGTCCTTTTCAGTTACTTCAGCAAACATTCGTTTTACGTAATCAGTATTTTGGCATAGGTTAACTTAACTTGATTCGACGAATACGATTACAATTACTATTAAAATAAAAAATGAGAATGTAATATTCGTATAAAGACTTACCGAATATGCATTTTTTTCTCTAGAAAAGCAGCCTTTCCTTTTCCATAAATAAGCAAAAAATAATACTACAATTATTAAAGCTACAACCGCTGATGTTGTTACAATGACTGTATTGGTGTTATCAAAAGACTTAATTGATGATGCTCTTGCCTGTGGAAAAAAAAACAGAATTAGTTAATTAATAAAGTATAGTTTGGGTCAAATTGTTACTTACTTTTCCTTGTGTTGAATTATCCGTTGGTATCTTGATATTTTTGATAGGATGTGGTGTGGGAGGTACTGTAACAAAAAAAATTTATATTTTCAATATTTTATTTTTCCATTTTTTGGTATATTGTTTTGCCATTACAATTTAAATTGATTCGTACAGTTTATGTCGATGACGTAAGTACTGTCTCTCAATATACAGAAGATTGATGTGTTCGATTTCATCCATTTAATGTTTAATGAAATTTATCAGAGCACCGACGTTTCGTTTAAAAGAACCACCTCGAAAAAACCTCAAACCTGAGGCGAAACGTCGGTGAGGTTTTATTATATTCAGTTGTTAAAACTGAAATCTGCCTCTAGAATATATTCAAATACTTATTAGATGTTTAAGTTAATTTTGTTATTTAAATTTATGTTGTAAAGAAGGCATTAAGTAATGCTTTGGGTCTATTACAAGTGACAGATGGGCCACCCACAGTCGGAGAAACTTGTTCTATTGTATGGAGATTATCTAATGTTGCTTCCTTACAGTTAAGAAAAAGTTATATAATATCGAAGACTTAGGTCCTAAGTAGGTAACATTCCTGGTTAGGGCACTGTTCACACGGGATCATAAAATATAATGTACATAACCTTTCTGAACATTCATTTAATAGCGTTTGGGACATAAGATAACTTTCGAACTTTCGTTCTACTGTAAAAGTAGAAGTGGTTATTATATTAGGAAAGTTACTTATAATCATTACATGTAATACACTAAGATAGTTGATATATTCACGAAGTAATTCCTGTCATAACAGGTGATTGGAAGAAATTTTAGTAGGTTATAACTGTATTTTAAAGAGTAACTTTTTTTGGTGGATGTTCCTGGCATTTCACTTTTAATACCATTTAGAACTGTGCTATAGCGCGTTGATCATGTATCTTCTAAAATTTAAAGCAAAGTTGATAATATGACCGATTATTTTACATAGAATTATTAATGCTTATCAATTTTATTGCAGGTGCCGATACCAGTGTGAAATAACTACTCAAAGGGGAAAGCATCATGTAAGTACAATGTCATATACGTACCTTGAATTTTTGATAATATTGTGACATTTGGTAATAATGTTAAGGATGTAAGGGATGGGATTTAGGGATGAAAAAGTGATATATCTACAGAGCAGCAGGTAGTTACAAAATTTGAACAACATAGTTGAGAAATACATACATTGTCATTAATTTTAAATGCTAGATAATCTTATTTTGTATCGATTGCGATACAAAATATTCATGCATCAATTTACAGTAGAACCTCTTTAAATCGGACGTCGATAAGTCGAAAACCTCCAAAACCCGAAAAAATGTTTTGTTCCCTTCCCTTCAAGCCCTAAAACCTCCATTATTCGAAATCTCAACCCTCTGTTATTTGAAATAATCAGTGAGTCCCTGCAAGCCATCTTGGTACATATTTTCCCTCTGTAACTCGAAAAATTAAATTGGACTTCTGTGTCTCGAACATAGCAATGTTTTATTTTACAACCTTTACAACTCGATAATTTGAAACTTATTACGTCTATAGTTCGAAGAAAACTAAGTTTTCACCTTTAAGGATTTGCCGACAATGTATGTGCACCAAATCTTAACCTCTACAAGTCGAATCAGAATTTTTTGAAGACTTCCTTGATGGTTGAGTTATAGAGGTTCTACTGTATTAGGTAAGGTGCGGAACCCTTGGTGCATAAATCGTACTCGCAATTGACAAATTTTGTTATTGTTTTTGGTACTTCCCTAAGTATATTTGGATATTAGTATCTGGGAAGTTATGTTGAACTTTTTAGACACCCTATATAACTTTAACAAAAAGTACCTACAGTATACCTCCTTAATAAGTACTTCTCGCTGTTACTTGACGTATTATATTTCACTGTTTCACCTGATCGTAAATTTTCATTCGGTAGGAATTTCTCGTTCTTCTTACCATACAATGGACACTTTATAAATGCGTCAATTACTCGCCAAGTGAATTGAAAGATTTATTTTTCATGTTGGTTCGCTACTGCGATATCGTCAGATAAAGAATTTACATTTACTACGTCTCTTACAAAAAGAGTATTGTAAAGGTATTTTACTTTTTTATTTGTGCATTCTTGTTTTCTTGTACACAATACGCCGTAATCGCGGAGAAATATGCCTGTGTGTTTGCAATGCTTTATTTTGATCAAGAAATACAATGTGCAGTAAAAGTTACACATATAAGATACTCTTTGGGATAGATTTTTATGCACGAATACAATAATTCAATAGCAGTAATAAAAAATGTTAAAATTATTGGGTTATTGGTGGGTTCAGAATTCTAAGAGTAGATTGTCAAATAGTTTCTTTTTAACAAAAGTAATTTTGGAATCATCTACTTCAACTTGTAATAGTTGCCATAGATCTCTTAAATTTAACATCAGTTGGTACCAACCTTTGGTTTCACTAATTCGGCCGTAATGCCATTATCAAAGAATTAGTAAGGCAAACTGAAGTTGGAATTATAGATACCTGTTATGCGGGTGCATTTTCCATCAGGCGTGGGGGGTGATTTATCGTGCGGACATATGCAAGTGTAGGTGTTATTTGAATAGGGTAAACACGCTGCTTCCTTCCCACAAACGCCTTTTTTACATTGGCCCGTTTTTAGGAACTGTTGCCTTGATTGATCGTCATAATCTGCAACAAAACAATAAAATAAACATATAAATTGTTGCATATTTTTATATAACATATACAGTTAGATTCCATTTCTTCCTCTAATGAAAGGTAGAATCAAATCCAAGTAGGGTCAAATAGGTACTTTTTTATTGCAAAACAACCACCGACATTTCGCTTTTCGTATAAGACTTTCTCAAGGTAGGTATTAACAACAAAATCTTGATAATCGTTATGGTTTATAATTGAATTTTTATTATTTAAGATATCGTAATAATTTATATTGTAGATTTAAATTTGAAATACTATGCAAGAGCGACATCTGCGGGGGTGCCTTTGTAAACTATTTACGACTGTTGCAATTTTTAAAATTGTGGAATTATTTAAATAATAATAAAAACAATTAGGTATTTATTGGTTTATCAAAACATATTTTTATGTAATCTGTAGCAGTAATTGAATACAGGAACTTAATTAAATTAATAGATTTTCAAACTTATTTCAAAGGACAGGGTTTTATAATAAGTTAAGTTGGCAACCATGCCATTGTTGAATTCACTTGTTCAACAATTGAACTATTAATGATGCTATTTCGTGTCATTTGTCGCGTAGTGTTGGTGATTAGATCTTCCATTTTGGTTTTGAGTCATTATTTTAAGGTAAGTGAAGGATTTTATTCTTTTTTAGCTATTTAATATCAATATTGCAATTGTCAATGGCGGTCAATTTCTTCTAAATATATTCCATTGAGTAGGGCAACATAAATGTTTAAATTTGTTTCTTCTAAGTCCTTAATTCCTTTGATTGACAATTTTGGTGTCTACTTAAAATTTTATGAGGAATAATTACATTGATTCTATTTGCAAATTATTTTCTTGTCTAGGTCATTTACTGAAATACAACGATGGATCGGGCAGACGAAAAATATTTAGACGAGAAAATAAAACAGTATTTTGAAGAGGGTGAATTTGAAAATTTACCCGACTTATTAAAAATACGGCATCGAAATGTATATAGAAATTATATAGAAATGGAAGAATGGGGTATGTCATTTCATAACCAACGGGTTTTTCTTTGATTTCCTAGTACCTAATCAATTAGTTTTTGTATTTTTATGCGTAAGGAATTCTTATTAAAAAAAAAAGAATGATGCATTGTAAAAATAGGTCGTTTTCAAAATTTTTCAATTTTCTAATACATAAGACGGGTCGAGATTCACTTTACAACAAGATTTATTGGTTAAAATGATTTTTGGTATGCTTGAATTTTTTTAGTTTAATATTTTCATAATACATGAAATTTTATTAAAGCGTAATATGCTATCTGCAGGTCTTCAACCTGCGCTTCCAGATTTTATGTCCAACTTTAAGAAGGAAGAGTGTAAAAATTTAAAAAAACGAAAGCGACGATGTGAAGGAAAAAATGTTGAGAAAAACGGTGGGTTTTCACAATAAAAGTTTTCTCTAATTATTAAATATTATACAAAGTTACAAATATTCCTTAAATTTGCGTGGTTTTAAAACAAACTTCAAATACCTAGTCGATTTTACGCTATTATTATTATTTTATTAAGAACTTTATCTAGATCGCCCATCAGAAACCATTAATCGTCCAAAACGGAATATTTCGATAAAAAATTATAAAGAAGACGACGTACCTGCATTAGATCACTTTATTTGTAAGTTTATTATTCTTTATTAGCTGCATTCCTGTAGGTATGACTTAAATTAAAAAATTAAAATTTTTCTTTCCGTACAAATATTGCTTGAACGGCTCCCTCAAAAAGAGGAATGTGATTTTGACATTTTGTAGATTGCGATAATTGTAAAAAAGAATTCGAAAATTTCTGTCCAACGTGCGGTGCTTTGACTCATTTACAAGACAATCCGGTTGAATTTGACGTAGAAGACAGGGCCCGAAAAACGGTACCGAAGGGCTATTTAATCGTTCGCGAATCACCCATACACGGATTGGGTGTCTTTGCGGAGAAAGAGATCCCTCCTGGGACCCAAATGGGGCCGTACGAAGGCCTGCTTTCGAAAAGGCAAAACGACAAGGGTTATTCGTGGATGCTAAAGGATGGCAAAACTGTGGATGCCAAAGATCCCAATAAAAGTAACTGGATGCGTTATGTGAACTGCGCACGACACGTAAAGGAACAGAACGTTGTAGCATTTCAGTATAAGGGACAAATGTACTATCGGTAAATAATTTTCAGAATTAATCGTAATCGAGTTGTTTCGAGAATGCTTGATAAACTTGTCACACTGTCATTATTTCTACAGTTCAAAACTTCAAAAAATATTGTACCGTTTACAACGGCTCCGTTTATAGCGTCGCTCCGCATATAACGACGAAATAGCTACTTACTTTTGAATGTTAATTCATCTGGTAAAAACTTTCATACATAGATAACATCTCTTCTTATAGAGACAAATACGGTTTTAAGGGTGTAATATCTTTCTATTTATTTATAAATTAAATTCGGATATAACGTCGTAGCGTGGTCATCAAAGCGGACTTTACAAGTTGTCTGGTTTACTAACTACGAAAGTTTAACTGTTTTTTTATTCGCCTTAAAATAGGAAAGAAAATGCATATTTTATAATTGAATTGGCGTTTACATATTTGTTTATATATTTGCCTACCATCATCATAAGACTGGTTGGACACGTACCTCCACTCTTTCCTATCCTGAGCTAAACTTCGCATTTCCCTAAAACTAGAACACCCACATCCTTAACTATTTGCAAACAGTAATCTAATCTAGGTCTACCTCTACCCCTCCTAACTTCCGTTTCTGCCTCTAATATGTCTCTGACTAGACCTTCATGCCTGAGAAGGTGTCCTACTAACCTATCTCGCCTATTTCTTATTAACTTTGATACAGTCCTCTGTTCTCCTATTCTTTCTAATACCTCTTCATTTCTAACATTTTCTACCCACGTTATCGTCATCATTCGCCTGTAACACCACAATTCGAACGCTAACGTTTTCTTTTCCGTCGCGCCCATCGTTTACGTTTCGTACCTGTACAACACCGCGCTCCAAACATACACCTTTAACAATCTTTTTCGAATTTCTAAATTAACCGTTCGCGAGCATAGAAGACTTCTTTTTATTGAAGGCGACACGACCCTGCGCTATCCTCTGCTTTATAACCCTACTACACCTTCCGTCCTGACTTATCTGACTTCCTAGATATCTAAAATCCGCCACTTCTTCTAATTTTTCGTCTCCTATCTTTATATTCGATTTTTCCCTACTTTCCCTACAAAGAAATTTTTCCATTAATTTTAGGGTAACTTATAGTGGAAAAAATTTGAGAATGAATTTTCAAATTAATATTTAATATTAACCATTAGGAATTTCAATGTGTTTGTCTATAGCGGCTGTCGGTTGTAATGAACGAGATGTTCGTGGTCGTTATAAACGAATTTTACAATATTAACTTGGATTTAATTTTTTCAATTGACAATAAGATTAATTTCTCGAAACAGTTCCGACAAAAAATCTTCCGAGTTGGTCACTTTAAATTAAATTTCTCTCGACACAGGACCGTTAAAATTATCAAAGCTGGCGAAGAAATGTTAGTTTATTACGGTGAAGAGTTTGCGAATAATTTGGGCATAAATACAGACAATTATTTTAAACCAAACGAAGAAGTAGTAATCGAAGGAGTTTTTCCTTGTCCTCATTGTCCAATCGCATACGTGTTTAAACATATGCGTGACAGACACGAATTTTTTTGCAGATCAAATCCTCGTAACTTGGTTACACAATTTGAAGGTAGGCTTTGATGCAGTGTTGTTTTGAACTTTTTGATAATTGTTTTTTAAAGGAATTTAAATTTGTTTAGTAAGTAAGGGAGCTGATATAAAAAATATTTTAATTTTCCTTTTAGGAATTTTTACATGTTCGTATTGTCAGATAACGCTGTCTACAAAAGCATTTCTTGACAGCCACGAAAAATTTTGTAGTAAAAGAAAAAAAGAGAAAACTGAGTAAGTATTTCTATTATAGTTTTAATGTAGGTACCTGAAACTGTTTAGGGTGCGTTCCTTGTGAAATATAAAAGAAAGAAAACAATAACTTAAGATGACAGACTAAAACAGTAGAACTTCATTTAGGCTTTCACGGCTGTCGTCTGGAGAAATTGGATTTCCAGATTCTAACCGTGTCTTATTGATAAAATTCCCATGACGTTGAAAGTCAAATTGGTAAAGGCTTTCGCGGCCAGTAGGTGAACTGTTGTTGTCCTGATTTGGGTCTAATGGTCGTCGTCGGTTGGAGTTGCTTCTTAAGAGGTTCTTGCATTTCCGATGCCTTTAAACCCGAATCAGGACGTCGAAAGTGTTCGAGGATTTGTATCCTATAACAAAGACATGTTTAGAAAATTCACGTTGTCAATGCAGTTCCTGAAGATGTCCTTGTGATAGGACGCGAAACGACGAACGCTTTGGAATTTCATCTGGAAATGCAGTTTGTTCAGTCTAAATCTCAATGGTGCTACAATAATTTTATCTGAAATAAATACTTAGGTAATTACAACGTATTACGTGGAATTAGTCCAGTTGATAGAGAATTTTTCGGACATAACTTTGTATCCGGACGGTAGTTGTTCCTTGTTGTAACTGGGGAAAAGTCAAGTATTCCTGTAAATTTTTAAACTTCGAAAAAGTGTGCGTTAAAAAATGGAGGAGGTCAAAGTTGACAAAAACCAAGTTTTTAGATCGAGAAGGCAACGTATGCTTTTTATCAACAATATTTCATTAACAAATTAACCAAATTACGTCCACAAAAACTAACTAGATTCCAAATTTAAAAACCATCATTTTAATGTGATAAAATCATTAAAAAAGCCACTTTTGTAATAACCAAGAAATAGCGATTTTTTACGATTTTTTTCGATATCTGCAGTAACTAATTGACAAAATTAATCGGATCGCGGCTCAAATTAACGGTTTTTAATTTCTCTACAATTTTTATTTGGAAATTTTTCTTCTAAAAAGTACACCTTGCTTTCTAGGTATAAAAACCTGGTTTTTGCTAACTTTGGATTTCCCCGAACGTCTGGTAATAAATTTATGTCGGGAAAGTTCTCTACCGACTGGACTAAATACGACCGTCTTTTTTTCCAGTTCTCCTTTTTAATTTGCCATGGTGATGCTTTCGAAAATAAAAAGTCTCTTGAAAAAGAGAGCATTACTGTAGCAAGTACAAAGAAAAATCAGAAAAAAAAGACAGGTAATCATTTTCAATATACGTATTTTTCGACGGCGATCTCGAAGCCGGATGCAGATTTGCTCTTATACATTGAAATTTCCTAATCCTAAACTGTCGGAGTTGTCTACGGCGTGGTAATGAGAACTAAAGAACTTGAAATCGCGATCCACATCTTTCGACAGATCTTTTACTGCTTTATTGTCATTCATTATAAGGTTGTGCTTTGTTTTAGAAATGAGGGAACCAGGAAAGGACGCAACATAAAGAAACACAAATATTTAATTGAAAAACCGTACATTTGTGAGTATTGCCATTATCGTACTGCATATAAAGGCTATTTAAAACAACACATGCAAACACATACAGGAAATAAACAATTTATTTGTCCGTATTGCAAAAAGGGCTATATTCAAAAATTAGATCTCGAGTATCATATGTACAAACATACAAATGTGGATAAGCCATATCAATGTAATCAATGCAATTACCAAACTGCTTGCCGTGGACATTTAAAGCGACATATCAGTAGTGTCCACAACAGAGAAAGAACTTTCAGGTGCGATTTTGAAAATTGTAACGTTTCATTTAACCAAAGGGTACATTTGAAAGAACATAGTTATATTCATTTGAACTTGAAGCCATTTAAATGTTTACTCTGTAATTATGCGTGCCGGAACTCCTTCAATTTGAAAAGGCACAATTTAAGAAAACACAATAACAAATTCTCAAAAGAAACCCAAATACGAGAACATTGTGATTGATTTATGACCTTCAATGTTTTGTTTAAGATAAGTAATTATTGTATTTATTATATTATACTTTTTAATATTTTCTTTACGTATAAAAATAATAGGTTTTTTTCGCAATAGAATATTTCTCTTTCAATATCACACCCTGTCAATTAATATTCTCTTCACAGTCATTTTTAATTTTTCAAAAATAAAGTAATACAAGTCCTTCTTAACAAAATACCTCAAGAAGAATATTAATAATAATCTCATATTAGCACTTTTAAATTTTTATTGGTTTCATTTCTGTTTTTTTTTTAATTTGAAATATTTATTAGGCTTAAGTTTTATAATAAATGATTAACCATTATGGTTATATTTCGATATACTTTTTTAGATATACTCACATTGATACTCTATATTACCCCTAAGTTTTAGATATTTAGGTATTTTTTTATTCGTTACTTTATGTGTTACTTATTTATTTATGTTTCCGTTACAATTACAATTTGTATACATATAAAATTGGTTAAAACATGTTTTGAATAAATTTCTTTATGTCAGCTATGTGTTTTTCTTTTTCATCTGCTTTTTCTCTATACCTTAACAAAATCTAGGTTTATTACGAAAAAATCTGATGGATTAGCAGGTAAGCGTTTTCATTGCTGCAGCAATCTCCGAAAAAATGAAAAATCATAATGGCCGACAACAGCAACAATTGATAAAGTATGATGGCCGACAGCCCCAACAAAGCGACAACAATTGATTAAGCATGATGGCCGACAGCCCCAACAAAGTGACAACAATCGATAAAGTATGATGGCTGACAACAGCAACAAAGCGATAACAATTGAAAAAGCTTAATGGCCAACTGTAGCAGCAATTGACCGATAATTAGAAAAGTATAATGACCGTAATGATTGTTAAAATGAACTAATCTGTAAGGGAATAACTCAAGTAAATCTAAAGTTTTCTTATTGTCTAGTTGCAACGAAGTAGTTTATTACAATTCATTAATTACTGATGTGATCTTTAAAATTCTCTGTATTGACTGACATTAACATCGCGCTTTGATCTTTTCAAAGTTCTCTTCGCTGTCTTCAATAAAAACACGAGGGCGATGGGTTAAATTGTCAAAAGCAGATCTTTATTTTCTTCAGTGAAAACTGACAACTGACTCTTTTACAACTTAAAACTACTTCAAAACAAGATATTTCGATCGTTTCGTCAACTGTTTTAAACGCCCCAGATGTTATCTGTCAACTCAGGTCGGTCTTGTCAACAGTTTGGAACGTTTAAATCATGAGCTCATTTGTACTATTTCAATACATATTTATGATTTTTATGGTTTCGGTCTGAATTCTATTTATTGGTATTAAAAAAATTGAAAATAACGCAACGTGAATATATTACTTATATGTATAATATTCCAAGAAAAATCTCTAATTATTAACGCGCTATTTAAAAATTAATATGATAGTTAATAATGGCAACAATTCGACAATAATTAGAAAAGCGTTATGGCCGACAACGGCAGCAATAACGTCACAGCTGAAACACCATGATGGCCGACAACGGCAACAATTAAAAAAGTGTAATGGCCGACGCGCCAACAATGAACAAAGCATAATGGCCGATGCTGCAACAATGAAGAAACTATAATGGCCGACGCGGCAATAATGAAGGAATCATAATGGCCGACCATTAACAATCAGGATAAATGTCAACTGTATTATAAACTAGACTAAACCAGACTAGACTGTATACCTGGTAGAGTAGCTGTAACAAAATAAATAATAAAGTAAGTAAAATTTTTGTTTTTTTTTTGACATTAAGAAAGGTAGACATTGTTGAATACTCGTTGAAGGAAACAATGGAGTTATTGCACAGGAAATTGTTTTCTACAGTACAAACATGGTCTATTAAAAGAGAACTCTGTAAACACTTTGCTCATTGATGTACATACGTACGTATTGATGCAGATGTAAACAAGGCTAACGATTTATCCTGATAGGAAATAGTTTCATTTGGAACGAGTCATTTTATTGTTTCTCGTCAATATAAAAATAATTACATCCCTAGACATTATAGCAGTTATTATAAAATTATTTGAACCTGATCCCAATTAGAAAAGCTATCTAAATCAAAAAGTTGTTTGTGTATGATTTTTCAACGTAATATATTGTCTTAATAAAAAAACTGCCCAACCATTTAGACGCAGTTGCGTTGTGACAACACATAAATTTTAAAAAAAGGCAAAATATTGTGGAAAAATTTAGTTGTTACTATTTGAGATACTTTATTACCTAATGAAAACTGCTAATAACAAATGCAGTTTGCAATTATTTATTTCTATATTAGATGAAACGGAGATACGTGAGCAAATACAGTAAAAGTAATTTTATGCATATAATCGAACATTCAAGGCGAAATGTAATTCTGTTTTGCACTGAAGTATGATGATGATACGTAATGATAATTATTAGCTGATAAATATGTTGTAGAATTTTATGCAAGACCATTAAATTTGGGTAATTCACAATCACCTTGGCCCACGCTTCTTAAGCAAACATGATATCCAATTTTACCTTATTCTGAAAATGTAAAGTATTTAAATTTTATTGCAGGATATAAACCTTTCACGAAATGTCACTTAAAATAGAATTTTTTCCTGTTACAAGTCGTAACGTAGCATATAAGGCATTGGGAACATGTTAATGCAGTGAAGAGATTGGCAACATTTTTCACAAATAATTTCCATATAATTCCCATATTTTATTTACGTTTTGATGATTCCTTATATAGACGTTCCTACTTAGGGACCCCACACAAACAATACGCAAATTTCTAAGCTCTAGACAGAGTAGATCTATGTTTGACGTTTTAATTCATATTTACTGAGCAATTACATTTGCCTGCGTGTGTTTAGAGGAAAAATATACGTACAGGTACTTGTGCTATTTTATACCCACCTGTTGCGATTAAATTTATTTAAATAATTCGTAAACCATTAGCACTACTTGGGTGGTGTTTAAGAAATTTAAATCTGGACAAATTGCTTTTTATTTGCGTTCGCTTACTGGCGGTAAATTATTAAACAAATAGACTACCTACAAATGTTAATTATTATTCTCGTAAGTTAGCCGATGTTACTTACCTAGGATAATTTATTCGTAAACAAACAAAACAAAGATAGAATTCGTGAAGTATTGAAGATGCCGTCTATTAAGCATGGCGAAACGTCTGCAATCAATTCGACCATGGCAGAAAAGATTAGATTAGATTAGAACTACTGAGATTTTCTTATTTTTTGTTTGTTTTTTTTCTAAAATGCTTTTCCATTGTAAAGGAATCATGGCATACTGTTTGTCTTTTAATTTTTTATTATTTTTTTTTTATTTCAGCATGTGACCGGTGCGCAGACAATATGAGTGTACAAATGGTTTCTTTCCGTGCGCTGTGCAGTCTTCTTCAGAGAAGGTAAGTGATTAATAAATCCAAAATACGTATTAGTTTTAGTTATTACACAATTATTTGAAAATGTCAACTCTTTGCAATAAAATACCGAAAGAGTTTTAAACACTTTGCGGAAATAACAAAGACACCTCATATTTACACATATATATTAAAGATTTATCGCTTTAGGTGTTAGTTATTAATATTTAATTACATACAAATTACACAATTTAATACACGACAAAGATTAACCAATAGCGTTCGACTTGACTTAATGATTTGAACAATTTCTTATGGGAGTGTTGTATGATTTATACATAGTTCGTCAGATTGTCTGTATCTGGGATTGTAATTAACGGCGTTAATAGACAACGTAAATTATCCATGACTAGCTTCGTATTATTCAAAAATTTCTACTGACCCCGATGGATAGTTCATAAGTTCCAAGAAATAACGACAACAGCGCATTGAACTAACTTCTAATACATGCATACAATAAGAACAACGAGATGAGGTACCTAACTATAAGGCATTGTAGGTTACATTGTTTTATTCATATGATATGTAGGTACTTTCAATTAATTAAGTATGCTGAACGTAAGTCGTTACTAACTTTGTATGTCATATAACATACGTACCAGCATTTGTGTAATATGAGTCGGTAAGTATACGAAAGATACAATAGGTGTCGTATGTCGCTAAAAAAATGGTTTGTATACAGGTAAGGCAAAACGGTCGCCGCACATAGAAATTACATTTTCTCTTACGATGAATGTATCACCGCCCCCAAACTCTTCTTTCATCATCAGAAGGTTGTCAGTCCTAAGACGGGTTGGGCACTTACGTCCACTCTTTCCTATCCTATGTTAATCTTCGTACTTCCCTAAAACTAGAACAACTCACATCCTTAACCATTTGTGAACAATATTTTAATCTAAGTCTACCTCTACCCCTTCTAACCCCCGTTTCGGTAACTTCTTCTAATTTTTCGTCTCCTGTCTTTATATTCGCTCTTTCCCTACTCTTTCTTCCCTTGCATACCAGTATTTTTGTTTTACTTTTATTTATTTTCATACAATGCTGTTTTGTCAATACCGTTTCCATTTTATTTAAAGGTATCTTCTCCTTGCTAGATGCTAATACTGCTATATCATCTGGACATTTAAGCATACTAATCTTTTGCCCCTGTATATCTACAGTTCTATTGTTTTTAATGATGTTGATCGCGTCTTTGATGTAGGTACAGATTAAAAAGTAGCGCTAGTAGTATGCATCCCTGTCTGTCTCCCTTCCTAATATTTACTTCTCTACGTTGCAGCCCTAGCTCTATAGCTGCCTGTTGCTCTTTATCTTCTATTTTTGTAACTCATACCTACATTTTTAAGTATATTTGAGATCTTGTCCTATTTAACACTATCAAAAGCCTTTTCTAAATCTACAAATCCTTTGTAAACGCTCTTTCTTTTTTCTATCGTTTTCTCTATTGTTACCCGTAAAACTAGAATGGCCTCCCGCATTCCTCTATTTCTTCTAAACCCAAATTGATCTTCCCGTAATAGTACTTCCACCCTTTTTTCTATCCTCATCTGTACAATTCTAGTTAAGATTTTTGATGCATGGAATGTTAAGCTAATTGCTCTAAATGACTCGCACCTATCCGCGCCTCTCTTTTTAGATATGGTTGCTACCACGTTCTCTTCTTTATCTTTGGAAAAATATTTGAAGGTTTTTGCTATAGAACTAACGGTTACTTGATTCTTACAGCCAATAAACAATTAAAACAAGTAGTCTGGATCAGTGTTTCCCAACCTTTTTTTCCTCGCGAACCAAAAGAAAGGTCCGAAAAAATTTGACGAACCCCTTATGTAGTCGTTAAGACAGGTAAAAAAAAGCAATAAAATTTGATAGAATATATATTTTTCATATTGCAGAATAATTGATTATATTAATCGTGAAACATTTCAGTAAAACATTAATAAGACTAAAATGATGTAAATGTAGTAAACTACCTTAATTTGATATTTATTTCCAATTGTATTGTAAAAAAAAATATTACATAGAAGGGAAAACTGCTGCAATGATTTTAAATATAAAGCAGAACATCATACTATTCACATTGATAAAATGTTTTAAAAATAAATAAATCTTTGTAATAGAAAGAGAATAGTATTTGATTACTTGAACAAAAAGTAATAAATTTTAATGTATAAAATTGTTGATATATTTTGATATTGATGAAGTAATTTTAAAAAATAAATAAGTAAAAAAGAAATGAAAATATTGAAATTTATCATAGATTTCTTAAGAAACAGGCATTTTATTGACGTTTTAAAAAATCCACCATTACAATATTATTTTCGCGAACCCCCTCTGCAAACACTGTGAACCCCCACGTCTTCAAGTCTTATCGAAATCGAGTAGTCTAACAAACTGGTGTACAGAATTTAAAACATTTTTGATTTGAGTTTTAAAACAGTGGCCCCCTTATTATTTCGAAAAGAATAATCACCCTGTACAAGTCACTTTGTTGCATTTTTATAGGATTAATTATGTGTAACGTAGTTGACGTCACTGATCGGGTAATTTTCGTTTTTGCCATTAAGAAATGATTTTCTTTGGGCATGGTCTGGCATACCCGACCATGAATGGAACGCAATCTGCTATGGCACATTAAAAAACAATCGAGAAGATACGGCTCTGTAATTGTCACGAACCCGAACAAAAAAGGAAAAATATCGGATCATTACAATAAATTGCACCGTACTCGGAGTTGCCAAATGTATCAGATTTTCCAAGAATTTCAAAACTAATATCCTCATGACATGATTGATGCCACTTGTAGATTTACATCGGTATATAGTTGTGGAACATCCACCTGACCCTAACATGAATCTCCATCATTTAGTCTTTGGTCCGATATGGAGTAATCACTGTTAAAGGGTTGAAATGGTGTATCTATTTCCACCTTTTAAAACCTTCAAACAAAATGTGTATTCCTTTAAATGATTTACAAACTATTCGGTTAGATATTTAGAAATTAGGTATCCAATATGTAATTCTAAAAGGTGCTGCTTGACTTGCAACATCGCAAAAAGGATGCCTCTTGGTAATACGACAACCATGACCGTGTAATAATGAATTAATTTCTATACCAGAAACATGAAGAGAAGTTAAAGAAAATTTTGCTTTTGGGCATTCTAAATGTAGTTGTGAGTAAGATATGTGCTGGAACTTCTATGATACAGAAAAAGGATAATAATTCGCCCCTATGATTTCTGAAAATTTGAAAAACATGAAATTTAGATCTTGTCTAAAGAATGAAACAGTAATCGCATTGATTACTTAATTTTTATGAGTGAGGTCGCGCCTGCCAGATTTTTTATAATTTTGAATTGGGGGTTGTTATTAAAATACGTTCGTAAATAAGGAGGAAAGGAGTCTAAAGAAGTATGACGTTCGCAATTCATCAATTTTATTTTAATGTTTTTCTTAACTTGACAGTTCTTAAAAATTTTCATTATGAGTCATTGTCAATGTTAGTTTCAATCACAAGTAATCGTTTATAGAGGGAGGGGTTGGACTAGCCTTGTAACGTAGTATCTTTTAGGGGGTTGCTGAAAGTGTGACTTAGCGTAATGAAGAATTTGGGCGACCCATTGTCTCTAAAACATTTGTGCCTGATTGTTGAATAAATTTATTAGATAAATCATATTTTATATACAGGAAAATAACGTTGCATTTAGCGTAATGACTTTGTGCCAATATTAATCTGGCAAAGTTACTCTGAAAATGAACATTTACTTCCTTTAATGGAGTTATGACTTACGGTATCTCAATCTCTTGGCAAATAGAAAGACGCAAGGTCATTGGAACTTTCTAATCGTTTTTGTTTTATTTACATTGCAATTTTAATGGCTCGTTTTTTGCTTATTATGGTTTATTAGTGCGGTTTTGCGGTTAAAATACCATATACTGAGAACGTATTAACGTGGTTGTTAATACAAGAAAAGCCTTGCGTACACGTATTACATAATTGCGAAGTAATGTTCTCGAATATCAACTTTAATGATAAAAGAAATTGGAGTTTGGTGGCCTGTTACACGTTGAGAATTATCAAGATGAAACAGAAATAATCAAAGTCATAATAACATTTTAGAATTTTTTAGATGGAAGGAGTAGTAGAGATATAAAGCAGAGGATAGCGCAGGGTCGCGTCGCCTTTAATAAAAAGAAGTCACTTCTATGCTCGCGAACGGTTAATTTAGAAATTCGAAAAAGGTTGTTAAAGGTGTATGTTTGGAGCACGGCGTTGTACGGGTGCGAAACATGG